AAGGGTTAAATTACACAAGCAGATACACGAAAAATAAACACAAACTATATATGATAATTATATATATTACTTTGATATAAAATTATTACCCTTCACATCACATATAACAACTTTTCAATTCATAACAAAAAGCTGGAGAGGGTGAACAAAGTGTGACAACATTACACAGAATGGACAGATAACCAGAAAACTACTTCACTACATCTTTAATCTTATTGCTTCAGAAAATACTCAGTCCATCTGAACACACAAACATACATAAAATAATAAGAATTTACAATGAATACGGTAGTCATTTATATGAATATGTTTCGTAATATTCTGCTGATAAAACTTGTAAACTATTTTGAGCCCAGCATAATTACAAGATATAACAGTGGATATAAATATATATATATACATAAGATGTATGTACCTAAAATACACATTGGACAGATTCAGTATGTCGTACTGTACTGCAAGTACAGGAAAATCTCCCACAATTCAAACTTGCATTCCTTGGAAACAGTGCTCTCTGTATTCTTGTGTAATGTATTACATGCAGTAAGTGGTTCATGAACACTCTGAGGTATGAGAATATTTTCTGAGTTGGTCAGGGGAAATATGCAATAACTGATGTTTTCTTTGTGTGGTGTAATATCACATTTAATCAAAATTGCAAAAAATAATGGCATGGCTAGTGCTACTTTGTTTATATGTATCTGAATAGTTCTACTTTTCTATAGTTAGTTTCACTGACAAAAGTACACCTAAATTCAACATCTTTCTTTTCATACTACTAACTCCATGGAGCAGTCCCCTTTTTCAGAAGCTAACAGCTGCTCACCTAATCAAGAAAGGTCCAGCATTTTACGCAACCCAAAGGCTCATTATCATGTTCACTACAGCCCACCACTGGTCTTGATCTTCAGCCAGTTGAATCCAGTCCACAACACCTCACCCCAGATAATTTCGTTATGATTCATTTCAATACTATTCTCCCATCTATGCCTTATCTGCTTACTTCAGGCTTTACTACCAAAAGTTTATATGCAGTTCTCTTTTCTCCCATGTGTCCTATATGCTCTGTGTACTCATCATCCTTGACTTGATCGTCTTAAGAATACTGCACGAGGAGCAAAAATTATGAGCTCATACAGAAAACAAATTCATGGAACATCATATACAGATTTAATTGGACATCTAATTGGGGAAAAACATATGGCAAAATCTCTCCAAGAAAGGTAAACACAGTGGGGATTCAAATATACTATTCTAGGTTTTGAACGAATGAGTGAAACACGGTCTGATAACGATAGCAGCAAGTCAGTGGGTAACAGACACATTGGTAGGTGGTTTCATCAAAGGGTTTGCCATGAAAAAGTTTAAAAAGAAACATTTTCTTTGGAAAAAAGAAAAGTTTCTTGGTGACAACTGGTCATGTAAGAAATTTGAAATTTAAATTCTCTAATGCATAGGTAAGCTGTCTGGCACTAGGCATGAATGGGGAATGTGAGGGGTTCTGTAACATGCTCACCATGATCAGTCACCATCATGAGCGATGTATTCTAGGTTCTTGTTAATCAGTTTACACAATTATGCATTCTTGTGGTATGGGAGATCACCCTGCATGAATCAAAATGAAGCTATTATGTTATCAAACATCACTAAACTACTTGAATCAGAGACCTATTTGCATGGGAACAGATATAATAAATCCAGAAACAAGTACATCAAAATGTATACATTCTTGTTCTATTTTCCTGAGTAGTAACTTTTTTTTTGGAAAATGACAGCGTCTCAAAAAAAAACTTTTCCAAAAAACTGGAGTGTCTTGAAGTATACAAATCTGTTCTCTGAACACATTCTTACCAACTGTTCACTACAAAATCCCATAATACATTATGGTTGAATACCACAAATCAAAACCATCATAACTGGTTCACACAATCTAACTTTAAAATTTATCCGAAAGCAAAACGGTAATTTTTTTAAAATTGTACAATTTAATATCATTGTTTGTTCCTTTATGGGTCAAGTTACAAGCTGTAATACAGTCCATTACCTTTCCATAATTAGGCAGGTTGTCTACCACTGTTACAATAGTGTCCCACAGAAAATATTTCCAGAAGTCAAAATCGTATCAGAGTCCTCCATAAGCTGGTAAGCAGAAATTGCAGTGCAGGGCTCAAAGGATTGTAATGATATATGGCTTTAAAGAAAGGTCACTAGAATAGGCATTTCATTTGGGTAAACCTGAATATTACTCCCATACATTATGAACAGGAAATTTTCAACATCAACAAGAATATAGTCTAATAAAGGGATCACAGAAGAGAACATGAAAGTATACATGACAAATGGATTATCCCTGAACTTGCAATGCACAAGTATAATAAGTCTGACTGATGATACATCTTGAGCTTCATATAAATTTTCTATGAAGAAAAAAAAACTCTTGCCTCAATTTTCTAATAAATGCTAAAATCACTTATAAATAATTTATATACTAGTACATGTAATCACTGGCCTACTATTTCTGCCTAAATCTAATTAAGATGCAAAATGTTTTACTCATCACAATTTCAATCCTTTCAAACAGAAAGAAACCAAGTCTACTTTCTTTACCTTGCAAGCAAAGAACAGTTCAAAGCAATCTTCATGTTTCTATGAGCTCCAAAAAATTTAGAACAAGTAACCAATTTTATAAAATTTGAGATTCAGGTTCTTTTTAAATATCACGATTACAGTCTTTGGCATTGTGATGCTATGTAGTTCGGTGTTTCAGAAGAACCTGCTGCCTCCATTCTCAGTACTGAAGTACCTTCTGAATGCAAGAAAAATACAGGCATACCTTGTTTTATTACGCTTTGCAGATACTGCATTTTTTACAAAATGAAGGTTAGTGACAACCCTGTGTCTAGCAAGTCTAGCGGCTCCATTTTTCAAGTAGCATGTGCTCACTTCCTGTGTCTGTAACAATTTGGTAATTCTCGTAATATTTCAAACATTTTCATTATTATTATATCTGTTATGGTGATCTTTGATGTTAGTACTGTAATTGTTTTGGCATGCTGTGAACCACACCCATATAAGACAGCGAACTTAAATTGATAAACGCTGTGTGTTCTGACTGCTCCACCGACTGGCCGTTTTCCCATCTCTCTCCCTCTCCTCAGACCTCCATTTTCTGAGACACAACAATATTGAAATTAGGCCAATTAATAACCCTACAATGGCCTCTAAGAGTTCAAGTGAAAGGAAGAGTCACATATCTCTCTTTAAATCAAAGGCTAGAAATGATTAAGCTTAGTGAGAAAGGCATGTCAAAAGCTGAGATAGGCCAAACGCTAGGCTTCTTGCATCAAACAGCCAAATTATAAATGTAAAGGGAAAGTTCCTGAAGTGCTGATGTAAAAGCTGCAGTAAGTTATCGAGAAGATCTTGCTAGGACAATTGATAAAGGTAGCTACACTAAACAACAGATTTTTTATGCAGACGAAACAGCCTTATATTGCCATCGAGGATTTTCATAGCTAGAGAGAAGTGAATGCCTGGCTTCAAAGCTTCAAAGAACAGGCTCCCTCTCTTGTTAGGAGCTAATGTAGCTGGTGACTAAGTTGAAGCCAACGGCCGCGCCATAGCTCAAGCGGTTAGTCGCTGGCTTCCCACCGCGGCGGCCCGGGTTCGATCCCGGCTCTGGTCAAGTGGGATTTGTGGTGGACAAAGTGGCGTTGGGGCGGGTTTTCTCCGAGTACTTCGGTTTCCCCTGCCAATCTTCATTCCACCAATTGCTCCACAATCACCCTCACCTATCATCTCCGCTGGTACAATAGGCCATAAGTGGCCGCAGTACAAGGGACTTAGTCCCACCCCACTAGCAATAAAAAATAATAAAAAAAAAAAGTTGAAGCCAATGCTCATTTACCATTCTGAAAATCCTAGGGCCCTTATGAATAATGCTAAATCTATTCTGCCTGTGCACTATAAATGGAACAACAAAGTCTGGATGACAGCACATCAGTTTACAACATGGTTTACTGAATATTTTGAGCCCACTGTCGAGACCTACTGCTTAGAAAAAAAGACTCCTTTCAAAACATTACTGCCCATTGACAATTCACCTGGTCGCCCAAGAGCTCTGATGGAGATGTACAATGAGATTAATGTTGTTTTCATGGCTGCTAACACAATATCCATTCTGCAGCCCATGGATAAAGGAGTAATTTTGACTTTCATGCCTTACTATTTAAGAAACACATTTTGTAAGGCTATAGCTGTCACAGACAGTGATTTCTCTGATGGATCTGAGCAAAGTAAATTGAAAACCTTCTGGAAAGGATTCACCATTCTAGATGCCATTAAGAACATTCATGATTCATGGGAGGTCAAAATATCAATATTAACAGGAGTCTGGAAGAAGTTGATTCCGACCCTCATGGATGACTTTGAGGGGTTCAAGACTTCACTGGAGGAAGTAACTGCAGACATGGTGGAAACAGCAAAAGAAGTAGAATTAGAAGTGCACTGAAGATGCAACTGAATTGCTTCAATCTCATGACAAAAACAGATAAGGATAACAGATAAGGAGTTACTTCTTATGGATGAAGAAAGAAAGCAGTTTCTTGAGGTGGAATCTACTCCTGATGAAGATGCTGTGAACACTGTTAAATGACAATAAAGGATTTAAAAAGCATATAAACTTGGTTGATAATGTGGCAGCAAAAGTTTGAGAGGGCTGACTACAATTTTGAAACAGTTCTTCAAACAGCATCGTATACTACTGAGAAATCTTTCATGAAAGGAAGAGTCAATCGATTCAGCAAACTTCAATGTCGTCTTATTTTAAGAAATTGCCACAGCCACTCCAACCTTCAGCAACCACCATCCTGATCAGTCAGCAGCCATCAACACTGAGGCAAGACCCTCTATCAGCAAAGAGATTACAGCTTGCTGAAAGCTCAGATGTTGGTTACCATTTTTTAGCAATAACGTACTTTTTAATTAACGTATGTACACTGTTTTTTTTAGATATAATGCTATTGCACACTTAACAGTTTACAGTATGGTGTAAACACAAATGTTATATGCACGGGGAAACCAAAAAATTCACGTGACTTGCTTTATTGTGGTAATCTGGAACCGAACTACAATATTTCCAAGGTATGCCTCTACTTTTCTACTACCTTGAAGGAGAAAGCAGGCTCCTCTGAAGTAGTATCAATCTATCAAACTACATGGCATCACATCCCAGAAGACGACATGAAATTTTGTATGATGACAGAACTTTGAGGTATTTTTTGTGGACAATATAAATAAGAAATACAACATTTTTATTCACTCTTCCATTTTTGAGCAATAACTGATGAACTATTGCCACTAGGAGCATGTGCGATATGGTACAATGTTAGATCATAACTACCATTTACACCTACACACTTTGTATCAACCTTATTTGTATTTCTTTAAAAGTGACAAAGACTGTGATAGGGTGAATATCTGAAGTTATGTTTGAAAACTTTCAGGCATTGGCAATCTTTGTCAGTAGAAGTTGTTATACATCTGGAAGTATTTTAGGAAATTTGAAATTCAGCTTCAGAAATGACTTTATCATGTTCTTACATAATTCAGTGGAAGAAAACATGTTCATAGAAAAATCTGTTGAAGTTTGAGATGGGGAAACCAGAGAAAATGACTTGAAACAAAGAATTTAAGATGTACACTTGATAAAACATAATACCTGATGCTCTTGAATTCTGTAGCACAAGTCTGATACAAAACACTAAACTTCTTGTATTATTATCAAAATTTGCTTCAGGTGTATGTCCATAGTCAGTTTCAGCACTCAGCATAACCAATCGGCATTACAAATGAATTTAACTCAATTATATAACATGCCAAATTTGGATATCTGAAATTTGAAACCTTTATAAAAATCCTATGTTTGCTATGAAACCAGTGAATATAGTGTGTAACAATCAGTAAAATAATATTACAAAAGAAACAGCACTGGTATATGCTTCAGTTCCTCAATAAATCACAGTAACACACTGGGTCTGAAAATTAATATGTAGGCCTCCTCTTTATGTTTACATGTCATATGGTAAGCTTCCACTCATGGTAACACTGATGGTGGCACGAAGCTCTTCCATTTCTTCATGCTACTGGTTGCTCCAGAGGGTTCCACCCACTGCAGAATGCCTTCACAAGAAGCAGGGGTTTCATCACAAGTTTCTCTGAACTTCCTTTGAACTTCTGTATGTTTTGTGTCTTCCATCCACAATATACACACACAACCGTCTGCTGGTTGCATTCCATTCTTTGTGAACTGACTGATGACATTCAGTTTGCCGTGTGCATATATCCACACATGATTGGTACAACATATAGCAAAATAAAAAGGTTCAGATTTTTTCTTTCATATGGTGAAATTGCAGGGCATGTGGTAACATAGTTGGTTGAGGCATTATGCTACAAGCTGGAAGGTGGTGGGTTCAAACCCCAATGTGGCAGATTTTTTTTTCAATTTACCCAATCCTTCCAGCTTTATTCATTTGCACAATAACAATTTTTAAAATGAAGTTACTCTTCCTCAGACAACCGCAAAGTCCCGCCATTGTACTGTATCCACATGTAGTTAAATCCAAATTATACCAAAGCTTCTGACAACAATTCAATGAGGCAATAAAGCAAGTTCTGTTATGATTCCAATCATCCAGTTCATCCAATAATCTTTTATTTAGAATTCAACTTTCAAGTGTTTGGAGGATAAAATAACATATGATGCTACCAGCTTTTATCTTCATCACAGATTCATATTATACATACTAGATTAGTTTTCTTTAAAATACCTTCAGTTACAAACTTTTTGACCTTCTTAGTCCTTGTCCACATGGTCGGTGAAAACGTTTGAAGTAGAACCACAGGGCAGGCCTCAGATTATTCTGAAGTGTAGTAAGGCGATAATGACAGCTTGGAGAGGACTCTGAGAAATACAGGGGGCATATTATCATGTATATAGGGGATGCATGCCAAACTTCTCCATTATATCTTCCCTCGTCAGAAATCCAACATGTTTAGAACAAGAGCATAAGTGTTCTGCCCCCCAGCCCAACATATCCTCCACAAGAGATTAATGTCTTATTACAATGCAGTATAATTAGATGCCCCTCTTTTGCTTAACATGCAACATATACAGTGTAACTGCTTTAAAGTGATCCTGTCAGGTTATAGTTGCGTTTAAATCCCATGACAAAGGGTTACACTTGTATACGTTTTACTTTTTAGTTTTGTTAATGTAAAGCAGTCCACCATGAGCCTGGCTAAACAAACAAATCTGCCAAACAGATATTTTCATGAAGTTCCAGTGTTTAAAGGATAAGGAATAAAACTACTTTCAGTATGATCTGTCATGTGTCAGGCTACAAATAAATACTATACCTTCAAACAGCAGGTTAGGCTTACAACTTATGTAGACTTATTTACATTTGTTTACATATGACAGCTCATTGTTTCTAAATCATAGCAAAACTCAAAAGCTGAAGGTTACAGTATCTCATTATGAGAACTGTCGTTATTTCAGCAGCCTTTCTCCTATTCAGAATTGTTAATGACACTCAAACACTGCTAGGGACCTGGCAAGGCAATCAGGACATTGATTCCAACCCTCATCAGGTATATTTCAGCAGCCTTTATGTTGGTTGCCCAATGGATGAAGTGCCCTATGAAAATAATCTCTTCTCCAGAACCAAATGTACTTTCTTTCAGTCACAGTACCACTGCAAAACACTGTCCCATTTTGAATGTACCACAAAATAAACACATAGTTCCATTCTTAATGGACCAAGACAGCAATTAACAAGGGTTATAATATGATATATGGTTGGGTTCAGGAACATTGCAAGTAAAATGATAGCCTATTCATTCTTCTCTTTCAATCACGTCACTCAGACAAGTACAAAACTTGCATTATATCATTTGGAATATTATGACTGAATGTCACCATCGCTCACTCATCCTGGTGATAAAAATGTGAGATCAATAAATAATTGACCATAATCGAATGAAAGATTAATGCAAAAACGTTCAGCCATAAGAGAAATAAGAAGCATCACATATGAAATAGGAGTCAAAATTATTATTCTTCACAACTAAAAAAGGCAACAACAGAAAGAAACAAGGCACACTTTACACATCTGTTTCCTATTATATAATGATTATGTGTACTTCGTTCATGTAACTACAGATCTTCCCACTCATGCACAGACCAATCATACTTAAATGAAGAGAAACTTCTTAAAAAATAATAGCTTAATAATCTCTGCACAAGTCTTATTTCCACACAACCCAATGCAATATACGTACAGTGTGTCCACGAAGTCCTGTCAGGGTTTTGCAAAATTGTGGCGCGCAAACAAACTGAGATAGCCACATGCGGTTTGTAGCAGATGATAGTGAAACTCTCGAAGTTTTTTACTGACCTCAGTAGACCTCAATGTGTACTTTCTTGGTAGCATGGAGAACGTCCAGACGATATTTGAGCTCTTGCCATGTTCTGTGGAGCATGTCCACTGGAATAGCCGAGATCGCATTCCTGATACAGGTCTTCCAGTCATCAAGTCCATTAACTGGTGTTCGGAACACACTGCTCTTCACCTAACCCAACAGGAAAAAATCCGCGTTCCTAGACAGAACATTTCCAGGAAGATGGATCTGCAGAGTCCAATGCCTTGGCCTCCACATTCACCAGACATAGCACCACTGGATTTCTTCCTGTGGGGTTATGTGAAGAGCAATGTGTTCCAAACACCAGTTAATGGACTTGCTGACCTGAAGACCTGTATTAGGAATGCAATCTCGGCTATTTCAGCGGACATGGCAAGAGCTCAAATATCATCTGGACGTTCTCCGTGCTACCACAGGAGCATACATCGAGTTCTACTGAGGTCAGTAAAACACTCCCAGAGTTTCACTATGATGTGCCGCAAACCGCATGTGGCTAGCTCAATTTGTTTGCATGCCACAATTTTTCAAAAACCTGACAGGACTTTGTGGATACACTGTACACACTTTACACTATATATAACCTGCAAATCATGTTTTTTTTTTAATTTTTCTTTAGTATTTTATGTTTACATAAGAATGAACAAGCCCTGCATTTATTTTTGTACATATTCCTGTGCTCATAATAAAGTTACACTGTCATTCATCAAAAGCAACTCAGTGTGCAGTAGCAAATAAATACAATAAAGCATGGCAGGGAGAAATTACTTGATATGTGCTACTGCTTTTACATTAGGCCAGAGTTTATGTTCTGGGAACACTAATTCAAACACACATTCCAATATCAATAACAAAACTGGCATGGAAAGTACCAAACCCTACACTTTATGTGAATTATAATTTGGCACTATTTCTGATTATTGCCAGAGATTCCAGTTACCCCATCAGTGTAGACAGATGTACCACACATGCCTTAGATTTATGATACTGTCATTAATTAAATGAAACTCCAGGCTATCAATCAAATACTACACTGAAATCCTCAGAACACTATCTTTTATACTCCCTGCTGGTGGTTTCAAGTATGACCCCTACCGCTTGTGACAGAAATGTAGAGATAATAATTTCACTTGTTTCTAATATTTTGAAACCAATGTTGTATGGAAAAAATGGGGGGAACTGCCTTGCTTTATAGAAACTATGACAAAAAAATCCTATCTAAAATGTACTGTAACTCTTTTTCTTGCATCTCCGGCACCGACAGAGGCTTCAACACCACAGATAATTCAATCATTCTTCAACAGACTTCGTTAGCTTCAACTACTGTGTTCTCATATTACTATGGTAAGAAAGCTTGATGTCTGAGAGCTCTAATGCAGACTGGGTTGATTACCAGGCAAAAAAAAAAAAAAGAGGAGTAATCACATGTAGCAGTTTCACCATACCATGTTATGGACAAATCACACAGCTAACACGTCAGAAACTATTTATTAATGCATATTTCATCAGCAAATTAACACTACAAACAAGTACTTACACAAAATTTGGTGGAAAAAGCTACATGTATTCCCTACATCACTGTATTCATGACATTCTCTATAATGGAGACATATCCATTAACTGATTTAGAACTTTCTCACTAAAGTGCATCAGTATGAATAACAATGCCACTTATGGATCTGTTGTCATTAATTAACAATAATTTTGGATTGCTATTGTGTGCAATGTTAACATCAAGGGCATCTGCCATTGACTGGTTTGTTTGGAACTGCAGAAGCTATGTCATCCCAATATTCACCATCTTCCGCATCTTCATTGTCACTTTCTTCTGCTGAAGAGTTGTTGGCAGAATCACTTGAATTACTGCAGCTGCTGCTACTACTGCTACTGCTGCTACAGGATGACTGTTCTTCATCAGGATCATAGTACACTTCAGCTCCAGGGAAGATGTAGCGGTTTGGGGTGAGAAGGAAGTAGGTGTTCTCTGTAATACAAACAATGTCAAGCTTATTATCGTACTTATTCAGCCGCAAGACTTTACTGCCGTACAGAACTCAACTATGTCATGGGATCACTGAATAATTTCTCCTCCCAATTAGGCCTACTCTGACACCATTCTATTAATGTCTCCTTTGAAAATCAGATTCTAGAGTACTGATGGATTATGTTACTTCAATGAATTCAGTAGTCAGAATTTTAATTGGCAATGAGCTGATATATGATGTACAAGGGACATTTAAAAAATGTCTTCTACGTTATCAGTACATGCTGCAGATACAACATATCAATAAAAATCATGTCACAACATACTGTCATGTGGTGATAAGAGACAGGGTTTGGGTTGGTAATCAGATTTACTGGACCCTTAAACTACTTGTGACTATATTTCACAAATCACTATCACACACAGACTAGTGTTCTCAGTCATGGTCTTCACTGTGCTGCTTGGCAGCTTCCAACAGCGGACTTCCCCTTTTCTCTGGGTTCCCAAACTGTCCTGTGCTGCAGCTACTGCAACTCTCAACTGACTGTATGCCTGCAGACTCTCTTGACTCTCATAATGCCAGGTGGTCGTTATATAGCCTAGGCACTGATGATACAGAAAGCACTGATTTCAGCAGCTCTTCTATTGTTGCGTGCGTGTCTGTTGTGGCCATCACATGATGGCTACTGAGCCATTGCCTAGCAACAGGCATGTCTGCAGAGCTGTTCCCTAGCAATGGCTATTTCTGGTGGCTTTATATCTTTCCCCTACTTTACATAATCATCAAGGTAATAGCACTTCTTTCAATGTGAGTCAGACGATCAACTGCATCTCTATAATTGTCTCTACTTGGATGGTGTAATGATACTGTTACTTACTAATGGCATCTGCAACTTCAGAGATATTCCTTCACCCAAGCAAACAAAAGCAACCACATACGGATATGAGTAGGAAGTAAGGAGGGTTTGCCAGCACCTCCCAACTTCATGCCAGCAGCCAACTTTGTGCATCATGACAGTGATGGGTCGTTGCCTTGTTCTGAAGAAAATGTCATGTTTCAGCAGGTCTAGTTGTTTCTGATGTAAAGCAGGTTCTCCCTGGTCATGTAATGCCATTTCATAACATGCCACCAACAGTGGTATGAGGTGATTTGAACACACAAGCCTCTTGATGGCTGAGTAACACAGTATCTGCCACTGCCAGAATGCTGTGGCTGTATAATTCAAATATCTTCTATAGTAAGAGGGGGCCACCACTCAACACTTTTGTCATAGTAGTCCAGAGTCAGATGAATGCATTCATGATACCAGTCACTGTCAAAATGTAATCAAGGAATGCATCTCTCCCCCTCAGCCAACACTGGTAGCAGGTGGTGGCCAGCAGCATGCTGAGCATGGTTTAACATATGTGGAATCCACATTGCCCAGCTCTTCTACTTCAGCTGTAACCAATGTACATATGTGCAGTACATGCACATTTCACATTTCAATAGGCCAGAAGTGGCTACAGTACAAGGGACTTAGTCCCACCCCACTAGAAAAAAATCTATATATTTTAAGAGGGCTACTCAGAAAATAACCTCAGTTATGCTGTTAACAAAACAAGCAATGAGAAAAAATTTTTATTATATACATAATATACAGGGGGGGTCCAAAAAAATTTACTCACTCTTTGATAGTCAATATCTTTGGAACAAAATGACATGTAGTTACAATTCTTGTGCAGTAGTGTAGTGTAATGTTTTCTCAACAGATGACGAAGGTCACATGACTCACGTGAGTGTTGTGCCACATGCACACTACGAGCAGAAGACAACAGCAACAATGGCTGAAAGGTTGTTCTTTGAGCAATGCAAGGCTGTATTGAAGTGGTACTGGAAGTACGAAAACATTAAAGAGGTACAACAACAATGGCAGAATGAGTTTGGAACTCAGCCTCCAACACGTTGAACAATTGTCTGTATTTGGGATAAATCTGAAGCCGACGGTACTGTTCATGATGTGCATAAGCAAAGATCTGGGTGACCATGGATAGTAACAAGTCCAGCTTCCAGTGCTGTGGTGTTACAACACTACATGATCACTGCAAAAACCTGCGTGCATGCGAAAGTGGGGTAAGCCGATCAAGTGTACGGCAAATTCTGAAGGCTGCAAAGTGGAAAGTATATATTCCAAGACTGCTGCACGCTATGAATGAGGATGACCCGGATCGAAGGCTTGAATACTGCGAGTGGTTTGAAGGCATGGTTCACAAGGATGAGGAGTTTTCAGGGTAAGTTATCTGGTCTGACGAGGCACAATTCAAAATGAACGGTACTGTTAACCGCCACAATTGTGTGTATTGGGCTCCTGTAAATTCACACGTTCACATGGGCAAGGAAGTGAATCTACTGGGTGTTAATTTGTGGTGTGGTCTGTCATCGCGCGGTTTGATCGGTCCTTTCTTCTTTGAAGGTACCGTAACCGGCCAGGTGTATCTCGATATGTTTCAGACATCGATTTTCCCTGCCATTCGAGAGCTGTTTGGAGATGAGAGATATTTTACCTACAACAAGATGGTGCACCACCTCAGTACCATAGAGATGTCAGGGCGTACTTGGATGACACTCTACCTGGACGATGGATGGGTTGAAGAGGTTCTATTGAGTACCCACCACGGTCTCCAGACCTAACACCTCTCGACTTCTACCTATGGGAACCTTGAAGGATGAAGTTTATTGACAAAAGCCAGCTACATTGAACGCGCAACGAGAAACCATCGAAGTGTCATGTGCAGCCATCACACAGGAGACACTGACAGCCATAGTTCGCTCAGCAGTTCGGCAGCATCGACACTGTTTAGCCACTGATGGTGGTCACTCTGAACACATACAAGGACTCTCTCTCTTTCCGAGCAAGAATTGTAACTACATGTCATTTTGTTCCAAAGATACTGACTATCAAAGAGTGAGTACATTTTTTTTGGACCCCTCTGTATGTATATACTTCAGCTACTTCTCAACACAGTCACGGTTGGAATTGAGGCACCTGTCATATTGGGGAACAACTTTTTGTATGCTTGTGTGAAAGAAGTCTGCCACTTGTGAACTCAGCCACATTTTGACACCTTCCATCAACTCCTCATTATTCTTGAAATGCTGTGATCATAACCTGTTCTTCAGGTAGGTAAAACAGGTGGTAGTTGCTAGGAGCTAGATCATGGCTGTAAGGAGGGTGGTCAAACAACTCCCAGCTGAAATGCTCCATGAGTGCTCAAGTGACAGCAGCACCACACCATGTGTCAGCATTCCATGCCTTTCGTTCTGAATGGCCCTATGCAGTTTTTTTGTTTCACATATAATACACTTCTGACATTATTGTGGTCCCTTGTTGCATGAATTCCACAATCAGTACTCTTTTTCTCTCCCAGGAAACAGTTGCCATTAACATTCTGGCAATGTTTGTTTAAACTTGTTTGGCTTGTTTTGTGAATGTGTGTGCAACCACTGCTTTGGCTGTTCTTTGGTTTCAACATTCACAAATGAAACTAAAGTTTCATCATCTGTTATAGCAAGTGTCATGTAACTTCGAACAAGGCCAAGTGTAACCTTGAATGTGCAGAAGAAAAATTTCAGACAAGGGTGTGAGAAGTGACAGGTGGCCAGTTGTTTGTAAGGCACCCTCGAAGCAGGTTATACTTACGGTTTTTCTATCATCTGTTTAAAAACGTCAGTTTCCTTGTGCACTAAATTGTACATAATGAGTAAAAAATTAGGTCAGGGCATAGGTCTACATTCACAGAAGACGCAAGTAATTGCAAATGTATATAATTTTTCTTTGCATGATGCGTGACAATATATTACTATTATTGTAATATGTTCTTCAAAAAGAGGATAGTGTAGTTTCAATGAAACTCGAGGGGTAGGTGAAGGTGGAAGAACGAGTGTTAAGAAACTCCTCCCACCACAAGCTATGCGCAGGATTTGACTAGGAATGCGGGGCCTTGTTCAAAGTTACGTGACACCGTTTATACTTGTATGATGTGGCTGGGGAATGTCACCATCTTTGTGGTATTGCTCTGAGAAAGTTGAATTCAAAGCCGAAACCATTCTCTGCATTTTGTGCGCACCTGTGAGCATTTTCAGAACCCACCCTGCACAAAACTTTTGATAGCCTAGCCTAACTGTGATAATCTCATAAAGAACAATGCATAAAATTTGTGGAAATTCACATGAATGTTCTGAAATTGTGAAGCCGTCTTCCACAAATTTTTTGGTCAACACTTTGAACAAAATCAACATTCACTACAGATGACTGATCATTTCACTCTTCATCATGAACATTCTACACCACTGTCTTATAGTTTCTTCACTCATTACATTTCTGCTGTAAACTGCACACAATTCACGATGGATTTCTGCAGAACTCATACTTTTAGTGCAAAGAAAGTGGATAACAGCGCAAATTTAGCAGCTGGTGGAATTATCAATTGCAAGACATCATAACTCACTCTGTAGAGATAAGAACAAACATTAGGTGACTAGGTATGTAATGGTTTACAAGGCAATAAGCCATGTGATGCTACCTCACACGAGTGAGCTCTCCCCCACTCCTACCTTAGTTGCCTAAAATAAATAGCGGTTACTTTCTAAATAGCCCTTGTGTTATGTACTAACACCACACTTAAGAGTAATTCACTCTCACAGCTATCACCTTAAAGAAAACTTGTGAAATGCCCATTTTATATGAGGTAATGTAAACACTGTGAAAAGGTCCACTTTACAGTACATTTTGGCCGAGAAACATGCAATAGGTTTGTAGTTTATTTCACAAAGACATAACTTTATAATGAATAATATGACGTAACAATATCACACAGCGCATTTGTGGTATCCTAAGGCCTACAAACAATAATTATGGTTAGAAAACAGAATTAAATACTGAAAAAAATGTACAATTCAGTATATAGTTTGTCAAATATTGACTTCCAAACAAATGAACCCTACTGACAGCAAAAGTCGTATGTTTGATAAATGCAATATCTGTGGTACTGTAGAATTTACTAACTTAATACAATATCCAGTACAAGGATTATAGCTCCAGAAAACAAATTCACCTAAAAGAATGTGTTCTTTGCCATGAGCCTACAATCCATTTGGTAGAATAATGGTAGTCAGAAATTAGGGGTACACAGTGGTGGACAATTTTATATTCTTTCAAGACAGCAATACTTCACTCAGCTTTTTCAGTGAGTTATAATACTGGAAATAGTTGAAATCAAACTGCCACTAAAACAGCAAAATGCCCATCCAGTGATCCCTGAATTAAGATTATTCCTCATTTAATGTTTGGGGCATGCCGTAGCGTAGTGGATTGAGGCACTATGCTACAAGCCAGAAGGTCGTGGGTTCAAATCCCAATGAGGTCATTGGATTTTTCAATTGACCTAATCCTTCCAGTTGTACTATGGCCCTGGGGTTCACACAGCCTTTAACAAAAATGAGTACCAGGCATTATCCTGGAGGGTAAATAGCAGCTGGCAGGTAAAGCTGATAACCTTACCGCCATCTGTGATCTGACCGTCTAGAAAATGTGGGATCCTTGACATCTCACAATCCTATGGGCCTTCACAGCCTGTTACAGGGATAGCTTTACCTTTACCTCATTTAATGTTCAGTTTATGTACTCCTAAGACAGTAATCTCAATGCTAAATTGCATTCATTTAAGGATATCCTGAGTTTAATGCCCAAAGAAACATCAAAACATATTTGCATAGCACCAGCTGTTATGAATAATGATGAGTATCTTCTGAAGCATTGCAGCAAACTGTGATGTATACATACAAGTTCACATACACACACATTCAAAAATCTTATGCCATAGCTTATTTTCTACTGCAGAAAATTAATAAACATAATAGCTCTGATGCAGAATCAACAATAATTACTTTCATTGCTTGCATCCTGTTGTGTCTCTCAGACGATACATAGGAACTATGCTACTGTCAACACAACAAATATTTCAATTACTACATTTAGATCTTAATTTCTGCGACATGTTTACATGTGTTACATATGCCTAATATAATGGGTAATAAGGCATCAAGCTGTGTTGATTATCTTAATATACACAGGATGTGACTTTTGTGGTATAAAATTAATACTTTAGGCTTTTCTCCAGTGATACTCCTTTTTCTTCAGGATGCCATATAATAGCAATTTTAACATATTTTGTTCTGCTAAAACATCATCTAACTGAACTTCAATATGTAATGGGAGTCCACTGCCTTATCTCAAACAAGTCCTCAGAGAATCAACATTTTGAATGAAGGAACTTACCTTGGAGTCTGGCAGCAAGACTCTCTCTTATCTTTGGCTGCCAGCATGTTCTGAGCTCCTCTAAATCACCTTCTGATTTCGGTTGGTCTTCACTGGAGTCCACAGACATGCGACGTTCTTTGGTAACGACTCCACTACTGCTGTCAACACTGTTGCTCCCATCACCAATTCCACTGTCTCGCATTGAATCCACTGACACATGTCGATGCACCAAACTGCACCTACTCTCTGTTGATGACACACCTGTGTTCTTACTAGTGTTACTATCTGTTGTTGAGTCCACCACCATGCTGGAAGGTTTGCCCCTTGTAACTGGATCAGCAGGCAATCCTGACGACTCTACTAATATAACAGATTCTCTGATAGCAGTGCTACTGTCAGCAGATAACGTACCTAGATCACAGTCCTTAGTTGAGTGAACACACACGTCACTGCTGCTGCTAGATGGGTTGTTGAAATTGCTTGATGAAGAAGTGTTTCCACCATTCCTGTAATCTCTTGTGGAATCCACCAACATATGAAGATTGGCACTACCAACGTCGGTTGGGCTGTCAGCAGAAAATCCAACTCCACTATCATGAGTGGAGGAATCAACAGACATGTGCCGCTCTTTGAATGCACTGCAGCTGCTGTCTGCTGCAGACATTCCCATGCCACTGTCTATGGACATCTGCAAGGAATCTGCCTCGCTGCTTTCAATGTTCAACATCCGCTCACCAACCTTAAATGGGCTACAACTGCTGTCTGTGGAGTTGCGATTAGAAGATGAGCACTGGTTGTCATGTCTGCCACTCACAAGACTGTCCTGGCTACTGCAATCTGCTGACATCTGGAAGGATGGTTGAACATTGAGACTGTCTCTACTGCAGTCTGTTGCACATGGATCACTGTTGTGGTCCTCCCACGATGTGTCTTCCAAACTGTTATGGTGTCGCCCTATGTGAGTGACTAGATGACTTGCTTCGGTCAGTGGATTGGGTTGCCAGCAGACCTCAGTCCATTCATCACCCATCCTGATCAAAAATGAAAATACAGGTTACAACTGTTGAATAGTTTCTTGGTGGCAAATATTAAAAACCCAAAAGATTAAGAAACACAGAACTTCTATTATTTCTGAATATCTTTTGTGTAAGTAAAATCATACTCAGCAGTATGATGATGGGGACAGAGATGGTCCCAGAAAGGTCAGTAATCTTCAACAAACTGATGCAGCTCATAGCCCAGGAAGATTTTATCAACTACAAGGGGCGTTCAAGTTCTAAGGTCTCCGATTTTTTTTTCTCAGGACTGGGAGCAGATACACACATGCAGTTTTGTTTAAAATATGTGTGCACTCTTTGTGAATGCGTGACAGAGATGGCAGAACTCTACGGCACACAGAACTCTAGTGGTAGCGGCGAGTGTGAGGAGTGTTTTTGATACTTAAAATGGCGACGTTTTCGTTACAAGAACAGCGAGTAATCATTCGTTTTCTCCACTTGCGTGGTGCGACACCCATTGAAATTCATCGTCAGTTGAGTGAGACGTGTGGTGATGGTGTCATGAATGTGAAAAATGTGCGTTTGTGGGCGCAACAGTTCAAAGAAGGCCAAACGTCGTGTGACAATGAATCAAAACAATCTTGGCCTTGCACCAGCCGGTCTGACAGCATGGTCAAGCGAGTTGAGAAAGTTGTTTTGGAGGATCGCCGATTGAGTGTGGAAAACATCGCCCCCAAAGTTGGCATTTCCGTGGGATCTGTGCACAAAATCCTGCATGAAGACCTGCGAATGCGGAAAGTGTCCTCCAGGTGGGTTCCACGAATTTTGGCGGATGACCACAAGGCTGCACGCATGGCAATGATGAAGGCATGAATGGGACTTTCTTTTCATCAACTGTGACAATGGATGAGACATGGATGCCGTTTTTCAATCCGCTATTGCATCACAATTTTTCCAGTGGTCAAAACAGACTCCTACAGAAGCGTTCGCAGCGGCCATGGAATCATGGCGTCGACGTTGTGAAAAATGTGTACAGCTGCAGGGAGATTACGTTGAAAAGTGACATAAGTTTCAAATTTTTTGTATGATTATTGTGTGAGAAAAAAAATCGGAGACCTTAGAACTTGAACACACAACGTACTTGTTCCCAGTATCTGAAAGATGAAGTTAACTGTGAAACAGCTTTGAAATATACATACTTTCACATCTTATACATGTAAGCTACCTTGATGTATATTTGTTTGCTTGCACTTACAGAGGATGCAAAACCTCAGGAAAAACACTGACATAACATTTTATGGTGAAAATTCAACAGGCATTACACTGGCATTACACAGTCTTTACTTAACTTCATTTATTGTATCATCATCACAGAAATTTTAGTATATTCACACAATGAAGAAACATACATGTGACAAATCTGGTTGATGATGACATCACTGTCTCCCAATAATTCCACATCAAAGTTGAAATGCGGCAGTGGTTCTCGGTTGATAAGTATCTGTGGTACATCTGGTGGTATTGAACCTGCAATACAAAATAAAGTAACTCAGGGTAGGATACTGTGAGCCAATCATAGTGGCTGCACTGTCTAAGGCATGAAATGTCTTTGCCCACTCAAATACTGGGATCATAGGTTCGAATCCCACTTGAGGAATGAATGTCTCTGTGCATTTATTCTGTGTCTGTGCTGTCCTGTACTGACTGTGAAAAAGATCAAGAAACAGAAAAAGTGGCCAAGGTTCAACAAAGGACTGCAGAACCACAGACAGACCTTCCATGTCACAAACCTTTCAGTTCCAAAGCATTATATAACCTCTCGTTCTGATTCATACTTCTGCATTTGCAAAGGATATGTCTGTGGACTGTGGTTTTGCTGCACCACATGCATGCACACACACATCCTCCCTCAAAATAGTCACTGCTGGCTGCTATGCAAATCTGCCAATGTTGGTATAGCACTATCGATCAGGTCACTGCAAATGTTTATGTGACTGTCACATTTGTCTTGTGCCGGGATGCGTGGAACACTGCTGGCTTAGACGAGACATGTTCAGGTCATCAGACGGAATTTTTTGGCAAGTACCATGGCTAATCCCTGCTCCTGTGACTGCGTGTGTTATATAACACACAGTCACAGGAGCGAGACGCAACATAGAGCACAATACACGATAGTGAAAGAGTGCTCCAACAGACGATGATAGACGTGACTCGCGTAATGAAACACGACGTAAGAATGAAATATGCTGTATAATTTTAATATTTTAACACTTAACATTTATCAGTATATATGATAAATATATATTTTAGTTATTTTAGTATGTATAGACAAGGCATGCAATGAACTAGTTTGTCGTGGATTGGATCAGCACCTGAAGATGGCACATTTGTGCCGAAACATGTAGTGAGAGTGAGAAGAGGGGATAGATGAATGTATGCACTAGAAGACGGATAAAATAAATCATGGACTTAAATCAGTGCAACAGGACGCTAAAATATAACATAAGAAGATATCACTGGGAGTGAGTCTGGTGAGTAGGGAGGGTGGGGGATGGCTGTCGTTATGGTACAGGGGCCAGAATTGTTATGAAACTTAACTGGATGTTTTCCCTTAGTCACCTGAGAGTATCACAACAGAAGTTGTCATCCGCAATCGGTCCTGGTGGAACTCCCTCTGCATGATGCCTTCGGTACCACCCCCCCATAAAAAACCTGACATCGTTTAAAACTTGTTGCACTTTCTTAGGTCGCGGTGAATTTGGTGTCTTCCAATGAGATGACTGCTGCTTCGTCTTAAGGTCATATCCATAACCCCAAGATTCACCACCAGTAATGATGGTGGAACTGAAGTTGGGGTCATTTTCAGTCTGTTCCTTAAGCTCAGAGCAGACGGAAACAGTGTTCCTTTTGGTCACTACTCAGCAGCCTGGGCACAAATTTCACTGCAATGTACCACATGTTCAGCTCTTGTGACAAAATCTGCTGACACATTCCATACAACAGTTTGGCATCACAAACATCATGAATCATTCATCTTCAATCTTCGAGGATAGCCTCTTGCACTTCTGACATTTCCGTTCATGGTTCCTGTCAAAGGCCGTCCAGAACGCTCGTCACTGTTGACTGATATCTGTCCATTTTTGAAACACTTAAACCATTTGTAGGTTTGGGTTAGACCTTTGGCATTATCACCAAACGCTTCTTTAAGCATTTTGTGTGTTTCCGCTGATGTCTTACCTTGTTTCCAACAGAATTTGATGCAAATTCATTGTGTCTTCACATCAGTCATTTTAACAAGTTGGTATGATCACAAAACAGCACTAACACAATGTTAAAACAAAGCACATAAAAATGAACACATGCTCACATCTTGATGCCATTTGGCAGACTGGTCCACAAAGGATACAGCTTGCGATATCTAGCAGCTCACGCCCATACTTCCGGGTAGGACCTCATAGTGCAAGAAGCATTTATAGTTTCCTACCTTCAACAAGCTCATAACCTCAATGTAAAAATTTAACTTTGTATGTGAAATCTGACATTTAAAGTTCTTACTAGAATTCATGTATTGAAATGAATTTTGGTCCAAAATGGACAATGCTGACTACTTCTTTACACACTATATCATAAATGGTTTCCTTTAAAAAAAATTGTGTCTGCAGCATTCTGGGGATAGGGTGAGGGACATTTGTAAAGCCACATCATAAATAAAGTACACTTACTTGGAATGAGTGCAACTGGTCGAACCTTCAATGATGAACCAATTACAATTAGAAGATCACATTCATCCTTGTCCTTTGCCATAGATTCATGAAATATTTCTGGCAGCCCCTCACCAAAAAAAACTATGTCTGGCTTCATTATTCCTCGAGACACAAGATCTGGAAAAAGAAAGGACACAGTTACAGAACTGTGATGCCAAGAATTTCACAACAAATCCTTATACAGAATTTTTCTTTTTTTTTATAGATATCACCTTCAATGAATGATATATTCATCACTCACCCTTATAGCTTTCATATTTATTTTCTGCATCATTAAGAGGAGGCAATGCAACTTTCGGACAACGTGGGCACCGGGGGATCCTCTGGGCAAAGATATCTTCTCGAATTGCATCTGCTGTAACTTTATGCTTGCATCGTGTGCAAGAGGCCGTTGCAAATGAACCTGAAATAATCAATATGGAAATTGTAGAGTACACCTCCTTTGAAGGTCATCTTCGCTACACTAATTAAATCTGCAGATTGCTTACCATGACATTCTATGACATTTTGAATTCCAGCAACTTGTTCCAGCGTATCAATATTTTGAGAATAATTTCTCAGCAATTTTTTATGTTTTTCCAGCATTTTTATGAATCTGTAAGTAAAAAATACATATTAATAATCAATTTTAAAACTAATGTTCTAGCATCAGGGGCTGAATATTCAACATTCCTGCTAATTAAAAAGTCTGGCGCTGGTAATAATCCCAAGATAGTTCCATTCACCTCTGACACAACTGATTTCCCAACAATCCAAATTAATATTATCCTCCCATCTACTTCTTAGTCTCCAAGTGGATGTCCTGCACCAAAAATTTTGACTGTACAGCTGACGTCCAATAACAAGAATTCATAACAGCACAAAAAACTGCTGCTGTAATGAATACTTGTTATAGGCAGTTTACGACATGAAAATGTAAAAAAAATGGCTTCAAAAATCAAACGGCAAATATGGGTGGTAATCTCACTAAAATCAATGAAAATGTGGAACTGTATAAGAAAGTCAGGTGTCAGTCTGTAATATATACTGTAATGGATTTCATGAACGTGTTGCCAGGCAACAGCTCTGTAAACATGGCCCAACATGCAACAACAGAGGAAGCTGTGTCTTCTGTGTCTGCGGTGACGACACACGACAATGGATAGAGACCACGTGACATATTTTCTCTAGATCCAACTGATGCACCAACAGACTGGCTGGATAATGTTCATGTGATAGGTGGTTACTGAAGATCCATTTCCATTCTGCGGCTATATAAAATAGTGACAGAATTCATTCAAGGCAGTTACGAGTCAGTCATAAGCTTGAGGAGTTAGGAGTTTTTCAGTAGAGTTCTGAGGTTCCAGGGTGATTGAACAAGAAATGGCAAGAAGACTGTGTAGTGATTTGAAGTGCTAGTTTCTGTGTTGAGATGTGTTACTAGGAGATGACTAGTGGAAACTGAGAATCCTAGTGCATGTGCAACGGTGAATGGGGAAGTGAGTAAATTAGCGATAGCACTCTTATTAATTGTAATTAAGAGAACTTGTAACCAAGGTGCTAATAAGTCGAATCATCTGAACTAGAACCTGTTATTTTTTTCATGCATACCACCCAACATGTGCCAATACAAACTACCGTATTTACGCATGTATAGGCTGCACATTTTTTGCCAAAAATTCAAGAGGAAAACTGGGGTGCGGCTTATATTCGAAATCACACTTCATTTAAAAAAAATTATATTCATAATTAGTAATACGGGGTGTTCTACTCCTGAAATAATATTCCAAGAAAATTATTTTTTCTATAATTTCTGTCTGAAAATTGTGCTGCAGCCTATACATGCGTAAATACGGTATGTGTGAATCACATCAGATATGAAGTGAATATATAAGAGAGAAATGTCATTGGGTTGAGTAAAAACATCCACTATTAAACTTCCATGACTTTTTTCTTTTGTAAATCCTCTTCAAGGGCTGCACCATAGCCCAAGCAGTTAGTCGCTGGCTTCCCACCTGGGAAGCCCAGATTCAATCCCGGGTCTGGTCAAGTGGAATTTGTGGTGGACAAAGTGGCGTTGGGGCAGGTTTTCTCCGAGTACTTCAGTTTCCCCAGCCAATCTTCATTCCACCAATTGCTCCACAATCACCCTCATCTATCATCTGGGGCTGGTACAATACGCCAGAAGTGGCCGCAGTACAAGGGACTTAGTCCCACCCCACTAGCAATAAAAACTGGATTGATTCATATTAAATCTTCTCAGTCTGCTGTATCTTCACCAGTTGTGTGGTAATGGCTTCCAATGCCATAGATACCTTAACTTTGGTGTTCATGGCTTCAAGTCCATGCTGGCTGTCACTGCAGCTCCTGTCCTGAGCTGAGCTGAGCTGAGCTAACTGGCTTCTAAATGCTGAACTCTCAACTAGGTCACTCACCAACCAACTCACTTCATTCCACCGCACTAACTAACTCAACTCGATTGGTCGAGTGACATAGCCTCAGAGTGGACCTACAGAAAACACTGCTTCCAGCAGCACTTCCACTGTTGCATGCTGGCCACTGCCTAGCAACAGCTCCAGTACTGTTGCGTATTTAGGAAGCTGTTGGATTGCTATGGCCATTGTCTCACTGTTTGTTCAGCAGTCATCGCCTACCAATGGATCTATATGCCATATGTGACTGCTAAAGCATCATTCAAGAAATGAAGAACAAAGCATCCAATTCTCCATATTTTACATACCTGTGACAAGGAGAAGGTTTAAACTGTCCTGGATAGATTTCACGGGCAAACTTGAAGAAAGGCCTTGGATCTTGGCTGAAATATTGTATATCAAACATGGCCTGTGGATCAGGAAGATCAGGAAAGTCTATAGCCAGTCTTGAATAGATACCATCCCGACTTCTGAAGTCTGGAATACCACATGATACAGACACCTGGTATGGAAGAAAACAAAACTGAATTGTGATATAATACATAAACCTTAAGAACCACATACAGAATAATTATACAGGCTGTGAATGCTATGAAGTTTAGACTGTGATCTTTTATGCTGACATTCCATAATCATATATAGCTTTTACTAACATTTCTGAGGAACTGTCTCTATCTTAAAAGCAGGAGTGAGTATGATCTTGGAAATAGAACTTAAATCCAATAGGCTCTTAACAAAATCCATTCACCCATAGTCCCACAGACATTTTTACACTCGCCACTGGTGTCTGTTACCTCAGCCATGGCAAGTAAGCAAGCACATTTCTGCAGCCCTGAAAGTGAACAGAGCTGGGCATCTCTTCTCACTTCTATTCTGATGATGGATAAAATAGGTTCCTTTAAAATTAGTGTATACTGTTACAACCCACAAGATCATAATGTAAACTTCACCACTATGAAAGCCTCAAATTCTTAGAGAGAACCTTCCCTTTAGCAAATTTATAATGTTTGGGCCAACTGAATTCTTCTACGTGGTGCTATCAAAAAGTCCCTGAAACTTTAATTTTGTGTGCAAATGGTTATGAGTACGTCAAAATACCGCTAGGTGTCTCCCCACACACACTTCTTGAATCAGTGTGGCAAGCGGCACCGAGTTGAGTGGTTGGGCTTATTGTTGGTGAATGTATTTCCATTGTTGTGTTTACGTGAGTTTGCAGTTTTGCGATGGCTGACCTGAGAGAGCGGCGTGTTTGTATAAAGTTTTGTTTTAAACTTGGGAAAACCGCTGCAGAAAGGCACCAAATGTTGAAGCAAGCTTTTGGTGACAACAGTTCAAGCCAGACATAAACTTACGACTGGTATAAGCATTTCAAAAATGGCTGAACATCGACTGATGACGATCGTTTGGAATGGCTGTCAACTGGCACCACACGAGGAAATGTCGTGAAAGTTAGGGACCTGATTCTGCAAGATTGTAGACTGACCATCCAAGACCTCTGTAACACCTTGGGACTAAGTTATGGTACATGTCAACGAATTTTGTCAGAGGAACTGAACATGAAGAGGATTGCAGTGAAGTTTGTGCCACAACTGCTGCAAAATGAACAGAAGTAGCATCGCTTGGAAGTCTGCAGGGAACTTTAACAACAGCTTCAAGAGGATCCAAACTTTCTTTCAAAGGTTGTCACTGGTGATAAAAGTTGGGTTTATGGCTATGACACTGAAAGTAAACAGCAATCATCGCAATGGAAGAGCCCTTCTTCACCTCAGCCAAAAAAAGCTCGACAAGTCAAGAGCAACATTAAGTCCATGTTGATCTGTTTTTTTTTTATGGGATTGTTCATAAGGAGTTCATCCCTCCTGGTCAGACAGTCAATAAAGTGTTCTAGCGAGATGTTTTAAGGTGTCTGAGGGAGGACATGAGGAGAAAATGTCCAGAGAAGTGGCGTACGAACGACTGAGTACTCCACCATGACAACGCACGACTGCATATGGCTTACATTGTGCAGGAATTTTTGGCTAAGAATAAGATGACAGTTGTTCCCCACCCACCGTACTCGCCAGACTTAGCTCCACGCAACTTCTTTCTCTTCCCCAAGATGAAAATCAGGTTGCTGGGGCGAAGATTTGACACAGTTTAGGAAATTCAAGCAAAAACGCAGACAGTACTAAACACCATAACAAAGAGATTTCCAGGATGCATTTCAAAAGTGGCAGAAATGCTGGGATCGATGTATGCGCTCCCAAGGGGACCACTTTGAAGGTAGTGGTGCAGAATAAGATCCAGGTAAGACGTGATAGTTTTTTTAATATATTTCGGGAACTTTTGGATAGCACCACATATATGCAATCTTACTACAGTGCTTATGTATGAAATTCCCTTACATGATTTTAGTATCATTCACTGAAGAGTCTGAGATGCATCTCAGTTAACATGTTTTGTATATAATGAAACAACTGTACCATAGCTCAGACAGTTAGTCACTGGCTTCCCACTCCAGCAGCCCAGGTTTCCTCCAAGTACTTCAGTTTCCCACTAGGATTATGTTTGCAACAGTATATTTGCATATTTGAGGACATAAAACAATGAGGTACACAAAATCACAAAGAATACATATGAAATATATATGTAACAGAAACTGGGGTACAAATTTCAGTTTTTCAAATGCAGTGTAAGTTTCTTTCATACCTTCACATCAGCTACTAACAGAGTTAAAATGATATAATAACCTGGCATTTTGCATACTTTGATTTAGTTGAAAAGTTTTCATATTTTAGCAGATTCAGTGATGAAAATGTGCTGAATCAAGATGGTGGAAGTGATGTACGTGTTTTTGATAATGGGGAACACCAAAAGGCTGATAAACAAATTCAAAGCAGAAGGAAGTGAGAAGTTGTTAATAATTTTCCCATTGTCATCTTTTGCAGGCTGCAATATAACAGTAACTGTTACTGAAAGTAGATCAGAAAAATTCAAACTTTATTTTCATGATGCTATAGTAGAAACAACATTATTTTTACAAACTGCAGGTTACAGAAATTTGCAAAGATAAAGTGAAGCCATAATCTAAACCATAAAACTACAAAGACCAACATACTGAAGAACTCGTATATTTTTAAATTCAGGTGCTAATGGGCACAATGTCAGATGCCAACAGTGAAATTCTACTGCTGCAAAGATTCTGTACCTGTGTTTTACATCCACATAATACAAAAGACATTCAAATTTCTTATAAGATTCTTACATTTTGTAAACCATGATGAACTCAAAATATATAAAAGAAAAGGGAAACTCTCATGACAGAATCCAGACTGAAACATCATGAGTCAATTCAAGTCATGTCAACTTGGAATAGGAAGTATATCTACTGATTAATTTCCAGTTCTATGGAAGAGAAAACTGTGATTCAAGCAGTATATCCACTTGAAAGATGAAAAGCAATGTCCCTCCAGCTTGAAAGTTTGAAAACAACTCTGATAATGGTGAACCACCATTCAGCCCTCAAAACATACTGTGGATGGAATAATTCACCAGAATCCTGCCTTCTTTTTTGAGAAAAGGGGCAGTATATGTAGCTGGGATATGGTGGCTATACAAAATAAAATATACCAAAAAATGTCAGAAAATCGAATGGCTTAATAATCTTAGAAAACTGTGTAAAAATCAGTATACGAGTATTACTGACAAATATTTCTGCTATGAATGCTTTCAGGTCTATCAATGTAGCAATCTCACATACACTACACTAAGACCTAGCAATGCAGCATCAGTTATGTTATGCACAGACACTGTATATAAAGATGAAAGTCTTTATGGTTTGTAGTTTAACCTCTTCAATACTGTTTATGTGACTCAAAATAAAGAGAAAACAGAATCAGCTGTTCTCAAGGACAGCATGCTGGAAGCAACAAAATGTTATAAATGACTACTAACACAGAATTAAAAGCAATACTTCTCGATTATTGGAAAAAAAAATGCATATCAGCTTCCTTGGACATGCATAAATGAATGCTTACTGTTAACAACATTATACCCAGAATGTTTCTGATATTATGAACTCTTGTTAACATTGATTTTTACTGTGTAAGAATTTACAATTTTTTTTCAAACTATACCATTTCCAAATTTCATATGCTGTTTTCAAGCCCATATTTTCATGTTATTCAATGATGGTAAAAGAAAAGAAAACATGGCACACTTCACTAAGTCTCAAACACTTTCTTCAAATAATACCTCTCCCACAAAAGAAGAGAGGACACAATCAGTGGTTTAGAAATTATCAGTTATTATGTGTACGGACTAAAGCATTGTCAATGTAGCTTGATACTCACCCCTGCCCCAGTGAGAACAATAATTTTCTTTGCTCCTTTAAGCAATCGAACAACATCAACTAAAGTGTTCACATGATTCAGTTTCTGCCGACGAGGTGGCTCACTCATCATGTTCATAATAATCTTCCAGAGGGTTAAGTCGTCTATTTGCTGAGGAATCTGTGTTCCATCTGTCACCAGTTGATTAAGCAAGCTCCTAGGATTTACACCTATTATCATCTGTCGCTGTACCCAACTCACCGGTCCTGAAATCCAATTTACAAATACTGTGAAATTACTTGACATCATGATTCAACTAAAGCATTAATAACTGTCTAATACATTAATTTTCATCACACATTAATAATCTCTCACCATGTCAAAGTAATAGTTACTGATGATTTATTGCCAATCTGTTTGTCTTTGCGCCACCCCCTTGAGAAGGCTCACAACCAGAGATTTCTTTTTTGTTTTGGCAACTGAACCCTTGTGATCATAGTCCTTATGTAACATCTTCTCTGATGAGAGGATGGGTTTATCTCTTATGAGTAAGCTTTGCCTTTGTCAAGTGTACATACCGCACACATAGCATGTTATTGAAAACTCTTCCTTTTGCACTATATACAAGTCCTCTGTCAGTCCAGACATTGCAAAGCAGATCATGCATATCTTATGCTATAACAGCAGCTTAGTCACTCGAACGGTTGTAAGCTTGCCCACTAGCAAGTTTAAGCACCTTATATTTTCTATGCCTGGCTTCGCCTTGTTCTATACTGCTATACTCATGATTCCATATCACTTCTGCTTGTTTCCAGCACAATTTTGTTATATAATCATATACATATGGAAGTTTGAAAGCCACGTAGCGGCCTCCGTAGTCTAGAGGTAACGTTCCCACCTCATGACTCGTAGTACACGGGTTCAAATACCCGGCGGAGGTCGGCGAATTTTTATGGGCGGAAAAATTCAGGGAACAAGTCCTCCGGGAGGGACTTTAAGCCGTGGGTCCCATGCCGTAGCTTTACGGCACATAAAAGAACCTCATACCTACAAAGGAGGTCACTGAGCCAAAATTGCGGACGTTTCCCACCCAACAGCCATCACTAATCTGGTAGATGGGGGAAGCATTATAGATACCTCTCAGCTAGTAGAGCCGGTCTCGCTGGCTGGGCGGGAATGATGGTAAGCACCAGTACCGGTAGGATATAGAGACTGGTAGAAATCATAGAGGGAAGCACAATGGACCACTACAGGTCTAAGTGCATGGGGAAACCCACCCTCTCCAATAACTAACTAACTTGAAAGCCATGTGCACATCATGGACTGGTGCATAACTTGGAAGATTTCCAAGGGTGTGAAGAATCTTGTTTTGAAGGTACTACAATTTTAAGAGGAAGGGTGTCTGCTGCTAATTGCCAGGTGGGTATAGCATAGGTCATTACTGATCTGATCAGTGCCTTATGGAGGGTTAGCTTAATACTGGCACTTAAACGCTCAAGTTTGAATAGGGAGTAGATTCTAATAAATGTTCTGAAGGCCTTGGATTCACTCATTTCTACTTGCAGTCTCCATGTAATCTTCTTATCGAAGATTACACCAAGACACTTTATATAACTGACAAAGGGTATATTCAGTCCAGTCAATGCAAGATGAAGCCTCAGGGGGCCTAAGTCTATGAGAAAAGTAGATGGCCTGAGTCTTATTTTCACTGACTTTTATTTTCCAGTGCTCACACCATGTCTCAATAGAACTGAGACCTCACTGCAGATTTCTGATCTCTCTTTGTGGTCTGCTGCATATATACAGGTGTCACCGGCAACGAGACCTAGGTGTTTGTGGAATATCATTAATATATATATATATACACACACACACACACACACGAGTATATATATATACACTGTACAATGTGGGTGACAGGACAGAACCTTGTGACACCCCTGCTTGTATATCCCTTGACATAAGACATTTCACCTTTGACCAAGGCTCTGAATCTTCTCTGAGAAAGAAAAGAGCCAATAAGCTTGACTAGACTGATCAAAAATTTTAAATTATGCAATTTATATAGCAAGCCAAGGTGTCATGTTGTATCAAAGGCTTTTTCAGTATCAAAGAACACCACAACCATAGACATGCTATTGTCAAAATTTAATGTGACGTAGTCCATAAGCCTAATAAGCATGGAAACCAAACTGGCCTGCTTTAAGCAAGCCTTTTTATTCAATGTGCCTTTGGACTATTTTCAGAATAACTTTCTTGAATAGCTTGCCTGTTGTAGACAACAGGCTAATCGGCCATAAATTTTTAGGGAACTGTGGGCCCTTAGCAGGTTTCAGTAATGTCATAACTTTCACTTCCTTCCAAGGCCTTGGAAAATGGGACAGCTGAAGGCAGTGGCTAAATAAATGTGTCAAATGTACCAATAGTCATCTTGAAAGATGTCCATGATGTTTATTCATGCTAACCGTCTTACAGTGGACACAATTTCACCTTTCTCTTCACTTTTACACTACATGTTTCAGCATTAATGTGCCATCTTCAGGTGTGTCTCTATGCATGTCAAACTACTGCACTGCATGCCATGACGTCTTCATTCTAAAATGACTAAAATGTGTATTCGTCATGTGTAACAATAAATTCTAAATGTTAAAACCTTTCAGGATTCGTCATCCATACGTCGTATCTCAAATACGTGAACCATGCCAATCCTCCTCTATGGGAGCACTGTTCCTACATTCGTGTGTGTATCTTGAAAGATGACGAAGGGATTTGTTCGGAATACCATCAAGTCCACAAGCCTTTCTCAATTTAAATAAACCTGCTAATTTACGTCTGTCCCAAAGTCTTACTTTTCCCAGTGGGATGTCATCTACAGATGTAAGTACAGCCTGAAGTCTAGTCTTCACCCGTCACTCATGGTTTTTGTCACACGGGTCATGAGATGTGAGCTGGTTTTCTAAACAATTCGCAATCATGTCAGTTTTCTCGTTAGGGTGACATGTTATTCCTTAAGGTCCATGAGCAGCGACCGGTGCCTTTGGTCAATCCCTTTTCATAAGTGATTTCGCAATTTCTCTTGTCAATAGCCTATGTGCCAAAGTTACAGAGACACCAAAGTCATGGGCAGCTTCATCGGCTTCTTCTGAGTTAACCTTTATCCTACGGGCATTTAAATTCCGGGAAGGGCAGCGGTACGGAATTAATTTAAATACCCGCGATTAGAAATCCGTAAAAACTGTAGTCACTTACTAAATTTGCTCCTATTTCTGCAATTTCTGTGATAAACGAACGAAATAAACGCTGTTTTTTTCTCGAAAGAATATAGAATCAGATATTGTAATTTACAGATTGTATAAAACATGTTAAAATTTTTGCACTGACTCCAAAGAAGAAATTTCCTAATTTTTTGTTTCTCCACAAGAATTCATACGTTCTCGATACGTTTGAATGCAAGCTGGTGTATGACGACACTTGGCAACACCGCTAATGTTATGTCTAACGAGTTTATCGGAGTATAAATGACGTACCTCTTTCGGAATGTGGATAGTGGACAAGTGAAAATAAACTCAGTGTCTTACTTCGCTCTCAGCTACAGTATAACGTTCCTACTGTTCTTATATACATCAAGGCTAGCTTTGTTTATGAAATTGCATTTGTAGTATCAACAGAGCGATAATAGAGCTTCGTTCCTGGAATTGTTCAGTCGGAGTTTGATCGTACATGGCGTAGTGTCGTGTGGAATATTTCAGCTCATCAACGACTCGGTACAGATTGCTGTACCGACAATTCTGAGAGTGATGTTGAAGGTAGCGAATCAGAAAGTTATTTCGAAGGAGACCCATCATTTTCGTCGGCAACCTGGGGACCACCAGCGTGACACGAGGAGTGTGAATAATTATTCAGGTGGAGCTGTGGGCAAACTGTGGCAAACAGTTATAGCATCTGTTGTTGAACCTGGAAATGGACAAATAAGCTATTTTTCCATCTCCTTGATCTGAATAGTTACATCCTGTTGTCACACAGAGAATTTCGTCTCGCTCTTGTGCAGAACATGCTGGAAGGGGTCCACCTCGCCATCAACGGCCAGGGGTCGAACCCCTGCCGTTTTATGGGAGATATCTCGATTATAGAAGGCCAAACCACATCACTGGCCGACTTCCTCTACTTCGCAATTGAGGTGTCGTGTGTGCTTTTCGCGTGGGAAACGAAAGACCGTCCGGACAAAGTGCGTGAAGTGCGAAATCGGACTCTGCATTTCCGGATTTTTTTGAGAATTCCACACGAAGGCAACATTCCGGCAGATGACGCAGGTGGGAAGACAGACACTCCATGCAGATGGTGGCCAAAAATTATGTAAGTAGGACATTTTCTACCTTAAAAAATTATTTCAAATAACGTCCGCACGCGCGGACTGTGCGACCAGGAGTCGAACCCCTGCCGTTTAATCGGAGATATCTCGATTATAGAAGGCCAAACCACATCACTGGCCGACTTCCTCTACTTCGCAATTGAGGTGTCGTGTGTGCTTTTCACGTGGGAAACGAAAGACCGCCCGGGCAAAGTGCGTGAAGTGTGAAATGAGACTCTGCATTTCCGGATTTTTTTGAGAATTCCACACGAAGGCAACACTCCGGCAGATGACGCAGGTGGGATGACAGACACTCCATGCAGATGGTGGCCAAAAATTATATAAGTAGGGCATTATTTTCTACCTTAAAAATGAATTTCAAATAACGTCCGCACGCGCGGACTGTGCGACCCCAAATGGGGTCATTCATACCGCTGACTAAACTTGTGCGACCCCATATGGGGTCTTTAGTCATTTAAAGGTTAATTTGGATTCTATGTGAAATTAATTCACTGTTACCTGAATGAATATTTTCTTATAAAACATGGATTACAGTGAATCAAGATCCAGGTTACTTCCACCTCAGAAGACAGGTCCAGTAACTCAACTGAAACTGCACTGTCACAGCATCATCATTTTAAAAACCATGAAACGATAATTCCGAACACATTTTAAGAAAGCAAGAAATATTTCAGTAGATAATCAAACTTGTAAAATTAACTGTTTACCAAACAGTTCAATAAGACAACTCAAAATACTTAATTAATGAAACAAAACTGAACACAGATTTCTCAATTACATTTAATCAACAAATTCTGCCATATACAAAAACACCTACCTGCCATTGGTTTCCATTCCTGTCCACTCAGTTCAGACAAGCCACTTATATCAGAAAGGTAACTAACAGTTGACGATACTTCATCTCTGTCGTCTTCCCTTGTGCTATTTGCAGTCCTAGAATGATACAGAAAAATCTGTTGTGTACACTGTTGCCTGTATGTGACCATACAGAAAGAGTATATAATATAGGAGGCCTCATTAGGCAAACAGAGATGTATGGAACCCAAGGTGTACATTAACAATTTCTTGACCCCGTCTAGCAGCTTTAGAAAAAGAAAAATCTGCAACCAGGGTTTATTCAGGGTGTGGATATGATAGGGCCAAAAGCCCCACTGAAATATTAACAATAACATGGTAAATCCTTTCTCTGATAAAATTTCATTAAACTACAAAAGTGGTAGTTACATATTAACAGGTGATTCGCATAACTTTAACATTTACCACTGTGTTGTCACGTGCATAGTCATTCTGCATTTTGCCTCAATGGTGGAATGTCAGAATCCAAAATCACAGATACTTCACTGAGTGTGTATTCTCACATGTGTCAGCTTGGCAGAATTCTGTGTCTTTGAAAAAAATGATCACCTCTTCTTCAGTTCTTGGCAAATACCATAAACCCATCATCTTAAAAGGAGTTCAAAACATAAGATAACTATTACATGTGACTGCTCGGTCGGTATAGTTTGCTTGCGGACTAAAATCACAGAGTTTTTAATTACATGTGACTAACACTTGTGGACTTGCTGCTAGGGGCAAAACACAGATTTAATGCACATGTGTTAACATGGTGGACAACAATGCAGTAAATTTTAAAATTACTTGGGTCATTCATTAACATTTTATTACTCAGCGAATTTATGTAACAGAATACAGTTTTTGTGAACTGAATTTTCAAAATATTGTCATGTGTTGGGTGTATATCACGCGACAAATAACTTCACACCTTATTTGATATGGCGAATTTATTGCACATTCGCTCTTACAATCACGCAATTTACAATCTCACAATTACTGCCATTGGCAGTATCACAATTACATCCACTGCTCTCGGCAACTGCTACAATTCAACTGACTGGTTAATCATTACTCACTAGTAACTCACTCATAACTGGCTCAATCCTCACTACTCACTAACTAATCACTCACTACTCCTGAATAGTGTTCGCTGCTCCTTATTTAGCCTCTGCACTGACAACACAGAAAACAGTTATGTGATAAGTACCACTGTTGCTTAACCTCATGTTTACCGATTGCCTAGCAACTGTCGTTGCATGGACTCCCCGCCGTGTTTATAAAGGTGTTGCTGGGCAACGCTGCCAAGAGCTGTTTATTGCTGCACAGCAACCGTGGGAGAGGGGGAGGGGGTGTTTATCCAGTGTTGCGCCGTCACGTCACGATATCAACCTTCCTCAAAACTAAATCCTATGTTTACACCTATGGGGCTATCCAATCACATAAAAAAAAAAGATGTCATGCAGGAATGATAAAAAAGACAAAAAATGACATGACATACACAATGGAACATGGACTCCACAACCTTCCTAAACTACTGTGATATGAAAGCAAGAAGAGAGTCACTGCTGGGCAACGGTCACTAAGCAAGTGCCTATGTCAATAAAGAAGCAGGCAGCCGCTAGTCAACAGCACTCTTGACATGTCACACAACAGTAGACAAGTTGTTAGAGGCAGTGTTTCCTATGTGGTCCATCCCAAAGCTATAGCAAGGACCAAGACTCACTCTCATTTTCATGATTTTGTATGACTTCTGTTTGTTTCCTACATTATTTTGTTATATAGCCATATACATATGGGATTTTGAATGCCATGTGCAAATCGCGGACCGGTGTGTGCCTTGGAAAATTGCCAATGTTGTGGAGAACCTTATTCTTCACTCAATGTATCTTCTTATATAACCTAGAGCCGGACCTATAGAAAATATGTCACTGTCCGTATTGTTGCAGGCTTTGCCTAGCACTGGTACCTGAGCTGTCAATGTAACGATTGCTTGAATGTGGGCAGTTCCCACACCTGTATTTACAAGTTATAAGTGCTCAACAAACCCAATTACAAATCCAAACCCCATGTCTAGTGACAAACAAGTGACACTTTCATCTCCCACTTACTTGATAACACCACTGAGCAGTCAAAATTGTAACTACCATAAACACCTGAGAAATACTATAGTCATCTCTTTAGAATAAAATCACAATGTCAGATACAGGATTTTATTATGAAAACTTCCATATTCAAGGCACTCCATGCTTCACCTTAACTTCTAGGCACACAACATAAATAAATGGGCATACATGTGGATGTGCTTTTGTTATCTTTCTAATGATATCAATTATTTATGACCATCACGCCGACCACACTGGTTTTCTGTTCCATTCCAGCTGTTGGTTTTGTTAGTGTCTTAGCAAATGACTGTAGTAAAATTTCAAATTAATTCTGAAGTATGAAAATGAAAAAATATCGAAAGCAATCCACTGTTTGATTATCTACACTCATAATCAACAACAGACAAAAATGGTATCTGCTGTTCTATTGCTTTACTTTCTTACGAAGTCTCATCAAGGGGGGGGTGTTCAAAAGGAGAAAGACATTTAGCAGTATATCTCATAATCTTTCAATTTTCTGGTAACAGAATATACACTCTTATCACTTGACAACAGTAACAAAAAGAAACATAATTATGGAGGGAGGTTTAGTGAATGTGGTGAACACTTAACCAACTCTTACAGGGATATTACCAAAATACTATTGGCAACACTGACCTCATGACTTTTTTTTTTTTTTGCTCTTCTACCCCTAAAAAATTGTTATTTCTTGAACATACCCTCCATCATCAGACTTCTTACTGCTGTGTGTGGATACTGCTGTCACTGAGGTTTCTGCTTGGCTAGTGCTCTCATCAGGTGCCATTTCACTGAATCCGGAGTCACCATTGTTCAGCACCTCTGCATTTAGTGTGTATTCCCCTATAATATATACATAAGAGAATCGTGAGTTTCTAACGTGACACGATATTCATTTTCTGTCAGTTGTGTTGTTTGATACAAAGGTATTTTACATGTACGGATTTCTGTTTCCAGTGTTTGCTATTACACGTATGTATTCACCTTGGGGTGAGACTAAGTTCAAATTACGTTACTAAAAGGGCGCCATTATTTACTTTGACGTTACCGTACCGTCGGCACGGCCACATGTAGAGAACTGTCTCTGAACTGTAATGAATTTCCATATACCCAACAACAAAAGGTTAATAATTGTTATCTATGTAGCAGTTACTTGCTATACCGATTAATGAAAGACTGCAACAATTTTCTACAGAGCACACATTATACCGCAATCTTTCCGCTGTCATGGCAGCCCCGCCCCCACAATGGAGGTCGTCGAGAAAAACTGCTTACGGACCTGGAATCCGCCATCTTTGTCCCGAAAAGTTGAACAATTAATCGAACATATTTTCATCAAACTCACCTTGGATGACTTCGTGAACATTCTTCAGGGGTGCAGAAAATGCTCCGAAATCCAATTCCACATTTGAATTTGATAGATGTTGAGTCTGATCGAGTTTAATTCGTTTTGAAGGAGAAGAATATTCGTGACCCTCTGAAATCATCGCCATTTTCGACAGCTATGACGAAATCACGGAAGAGGAAATAGATGGCGCTTCTTAATAGTGATTGAGGATATAGCAGGCAGAATGGTTTGTAATTTTGAATTATGTATCTGTCTTTATTTCAGTAATCGTTGAATGGACGAGAAACGGATTTATATGAAATTGAATGTAATATAGTTTTCATTGATAATATATTTTATGAACCTTGAAAATGTATCATTAATGAAAATGATGGGCATGGTATGTGTACGAATACACATGACCTAAGTGTTGAGAAAGGGTTTTTAATTAATCCATTACCTATAAGACGTTAAAATAATTTTAATGCAATTAAAACTGGGGAAATAATGAGTTAGAAATCCGTGTAAAATACAGCACTATACTGAAATACTCTTTTAGAATTTTTTCTAACCTCTTCATGTTTCAGAGTGAAGGTACAGCAACTATCAGGACCAGAAAGTTCATGACAAACCGGCTTTTGTGCCGGAAACAGATGGTTCGTATTTTTGGTTTCAGTTTTTTTTTTATATCTACATCGTATTAATATTGTTCAACAGATGTGTGTTGCCGACTGTTTAAAATACAATTTCACTGCTTTGGTTTGCAGGTTGTGGATGTTTTGCATCCAGGGCAACCATCTGTTAAGAAGACTGAAATTCGAGAGAAACTAGCAAAGATGTACAAAGTTACATCAGATTTAGTGTTCTGTTTTGGTTTCCGTACAGCCTTTGGTGGTGGAAAGTCGACTGGTTTTGCCCTCATATATGATACACTGGACTATGCGATGAAGTTTGAACCTAAACATAGGTTAGCCAGGGTATGTAAGAAGCTTTTCTTAATTGTGTAAAGCCTGTTAAAACTTTCTCAGTGATTGTATTGTTTTAAGTACTTTATGGGAATGTGAGGGAAAGATTAAAAGAAATGGAGGCTAGTTGTGTTGTCTACCTCCATGCCTTCTCTCAAAAACTGCCTGCAGCATTGTTAGCATGTTCTCTTACAGCCCAGGGCCCACAGTAGTGAAGCATTGTATTGTGCCTCGTATCAGATGTGGTTCATAGTCAGCAAGTAATGTAGTTATGTCTTTTGTTTTATATTGCTATAGATAGATTGTGAGTGAATTTTATTTCATCATGTTTAGCAAAGAGAAGTATTTGTAATGTTCGTTAGCACACTAGGACCAGATTTGAATATGCGTTAAAGAAACATCAGTAGTAATGTATTAAAAATAATGCTTTGGGATTAAAATGTATATTTGATTTGGAGTTCATGTGTATATTGATGTCTGCAATTTTCTTCATCACAACATGTTGTTTCTCTCATGGCAGTAGGGAGGACAGGAGGCAGGTGTTCACATTGTACATAGTTGACATTCATGTATTTGAATGTTTGGATATCCTTTGTTGTGAAGTTGTTGGTTTGCATGTTAGACATTAAAATTGGCAAAGGAGTGACTCTGATATTTAATTATGTATTTTTAAAGCATGGACTTTTTGAGAAGCAGAAGGCCACGCGCAAACAGCGCAAAGAACGTAAGAATAGGATGAAGAAGGTGCGTGGTACCAAGAAGTCCAAAGTAGGGGCAGCATCAGGAAAGAAGGTATGTGTTGATATTGGATTTTAAATAAATTGAACAAGTTATGTAGAGGTCCTGCCATAATAAATTTCAAATTTTTTTCCTGGAAGAAAGTCCTTTGCTTGTGCTCAGATGGGCAGATTTTCAACCACCATGCAGTGGCAGTGGTATTTAGTTTTGGCAGTAGAACACATTTGACTGATTATCAGTTATATTGAATCAAATAAGAGCAACTGTGGAAACATTGTGCTCCTAATAAAGTAAACGAACTTCCAACAGAATAACTACTTCAGTTATTTCTGCATTTTGAACAAGGACAAGTATGCTTGGCTGTCTTTGTGAGGATGATCTATAAACTGCAACAGTGGTCACAGAACACTGATATGTCAGTGGAATAACAAGATGTTCTAGGAAGAACTAATTGCCTGCTTTCATTTGATACAACACAGACTGCATAGAAAACCAAAACATAGGGGGGGGGGACAGCGAGGTTATCTCATAAGCCTCAGAAATTAGGGGTGATATAGAAACAGTAAGGTGATGTTATAAGCCTTTTATTTTTTCAAAATGAGAGGAGTAGACTAATAAGTGATATAGCAGTGGCAAAATTAATGTTGCAGTATCAGAATAATGGTTTCGAAGTCAACAAAAGGTGGAATTATGAAATTTTTATTTGGATTGGAACAAGGAGAGATGTATAATCTAAATGTGCCAATGTTTAACATAAGGCACCAAAAGAATATTTTTAGAACCTGTTTTAATATTCCTTTATGATACCAGCAGTTTCCACTACAGTTTGCGTACCCTATTTGTGTGAATGATTGATCCGGTTCCTACTGCAGTTGTAATGCCTGGAGGTTATGTTGTTTTCCCCTTATAATATGAACATGATCATAAAAGAAAAGTATATTGGATAGGATCTAAAAACTTTNTGTGGAAACTGGTGTATAAAAACAGTATTTTACTTTCTGAGAACATGAGATCCTCTTCCTGTTGACACTATATTCTTTACAATTTTTGACGATTTGGATGGACCCACAGCGTGTAAATTAAGCATAATTTTTGTGTTATGTCATATTAACCCTTTGACGCGGTAATTTAAATTCCGCGGCTGCGTCTCCTGCGGTAATATATTCAGCCGGCCATTTAAATTTTGCTCGAAAATGATTTATTCATCATTGTTCTTAAATTCTATGAGATAGGAACATGAAACTTTCACTAAAATGATCTTAAAAGGTGGTTTTATAACCTTACCTTATAATATGAGCGCCCTTTATATCTTCAATGGAAGCAGGTTTTTTAGTATTTGAGCAGTGAATGGTACGCCTTGAAGCATGAAACTTTCACTAAAATGATCTTAAAAGATGGTTTTTATAACCTTACCTTATAATATGAGCGCCCTGTATCTCGGTAATGGAGGCAGTTGGTTTAGTAGAAGGAAGGCCTTGAAGCATTCGTATAACCCAACGGTGCCTCACATTCACCATTCTCCGCTCCAATATTGTGTATTTTTTTTGGCCCTTTTTTTTAACCACACATTTGTGCTGCCTTGCCTTCTTACCCGTGAGGGGTATAGTTCAAGGAAATGTCTTTCCGTGACCCGTTTAGTTGCCAGGTCAGCTGTAGTAAATTCAACGTTACGAGTTATCATAACAAGGGGTTGTTGCTATGCCTTTGATATTCCATCCATTTTGGCGGCAGGAGATGTCGTAGGGGTGACCACAGAATTCATGAAGTTATTCTAAGAACTGTCTGGTATGTAGTGAACGAAAGTAGAGCTTAGCTGGCTCAAAAAAATATTTATGGTCATCCCTCGAAACGACCACCAAGGTCAGTACGATAAAATGGAGTCAACTGGAGCGATAATACATGAAGGAATGAGTTCTTTTTCCCTCCCCCACACACATCCGTATCGTCTCAGGGGGTGACCACAGTGTTCTGCCTTAAATTGTGGCGTTTTTCTCAGAACTGGGCCTTTGTACTGTGCGAAATCAATGGATAATGCGAGAATAAATTACTGGACAACCCTATTCTAAGAATTTCAGTTGAGTGTGTCAATGTGGCCAGCTCAGGGTAATATGATATCATATACAACAGTAAACATCACGTCTCTTCTGTTTATATCTTCGAAGCAAAGAAAACACGCCTTCATAAGAGTACAGCTAGAAACCGCTCGCCAGAACCACAGGAACTTTGCTGCAAGACAGGCATATGTAACGATGACTTGGCACAGATAAAGTCGTGTCTTATTTATACTCTGTTCTACTGACAACAGGCCAGCGAAAAATCTAACAATCTACAGCAAAACCATCAATTATTATGGGCGTTATAACATAGGTGTGCAGCTGAACGAAACATACACGTCGAACCCCCCCAGACGATTTAAATCCCCGACGAAACATACACGACGAACCACGGCAACGGGTTAACTACCACTTTAATCTGAGGTATAAATTAAATTTTCTTAGTTATCTTGTTAAATCTTCACCAGTTCCAAAAATGTTTCAGAACAGAATTATGTAGCTGAACATGTGAGAGATATGTTATGAAATATGGTCTAAAGATGTCAGAATGTGTATGAAGTCTTTGACCACGAAGTTTACCTTTCTTGTTTTCAATTAAATGCAGTTTTCCCAGTAATCAAGCCATACAGAGATATATAAAATAATAATATTAGTAAGAGACTTGTAGAGCTCGAAATCTACTCAGTAGGAGAGCAGGCTTTTATGATTTCTGCTTGGAACCTCTTGTTTACATCACAATCAGGATTTTTATACAACAAGTAAATGCCAAGATTTTTATCATTAACCATTGAAGACGGTCTAGCAAGTTTTCAAATGGACAGTTGAATTTAATTTGAAATTAAAATATCTGGTATCTGTGGATTATTTACTGTGTTTGATATATTAGAAGTGTTGACTTTTATGAAATTAAGGACTTAATGTGACTATTTTGAATGTCTACTACTTGCATGTGGTTTATCCTTATACAATTTTATGCATTTATATTCATGTTTGCTAATTTCTTTTTTTTTTTGCATCCATGCTTGATGTGCCTAAATGGAATGATGCATGATTTGCTTTAATGATAAAGGCTTGCTGTTGCATTCCTTGATTTAAGCATGAATCTTTCTAGCCCTTTGGAATACCAATCATAGTTGAGTGTACTTCATGGTAGCAGCAAAGTTTCTAGGTGTATAAAATGGGTGCAGACTTTTTTATTATAAGTTGTAGTTGGTTGAGGGGTATGCTACAAGCCGGAAGGTCGCGGGTTCAAGTCCCGATGAGATCATTGGATTTTTTTTTCAGTTGACCTAATCCTTCTAGCCTCAATAGGCCCTGGGGTTTACTCAGCCTCTAACAGAAATGAGCACCAGGAATTAATTAAATAATTTTCCTGGGGAGTAAAGCGCAGCCAGCACGTAAGACTGACAACCTTACTGCCATCTTTGAGCTGATTGCCTAGATAGTGTGGGACCCTCAACGTCTCACAACCCTATGGGCCTTCACGGCCTGGTACAGGGATAGCTTTCTTTTTTTACTTTTACGTAACTAATAATATAGTTAATATCCTGCGTACGTGACAGCACGGATCAAAGTAACATAGAAACTTTGCTAAATGTGTTTATTGGAGGGTAATGATAATTCTGATACTCCTACAGCAGCAATTTCAAGGCTCAGAAAGCCGTGTCATCCACCCTAAGTGTAATTCTCTGATGCTATGGTTTGCACAGAAAAAAGGTTGGAAGGAGCCCTCACAAATCCTGCTTGACTTAATCTCAGATTCACAGCTTTTGTATGTGCATCTGTGAAAATGCTAATAAGTGCATGTCCACTTGAATGGTATGGTAATAAAAAGAGAAATTTCAGAAATGAATGTTTGGTAAAAACTGCAAATACTAGTTAGCAAATAAGCCTAAAGACTTTTCTTATAAACATCCTAGAAAACTGTTTATTGTAAGATATGTGCGAGATGAGTCAATAATATACCTGGATGATCAGTTATGTTACTTTAAAATTGTTGCTTCTTATCCTGCGTTGATTCCTTAAAAGAAAGAAAATTCTGCTTTCTGATATCACCGTACTCTCTGTATGGGGAGGTGGTTATGTTCCTTCATTTCAACTCTTGAACCAGTTCATCAGTTTTCATGAAACTGGTGTGTTATGCTGATGGAGGCATCTCAAAGCTGTACTTCTCCTTTTCCTAAATTAGTAATAATGGCATGGTGAGCATGTAAACTTGGGAGGTGGGAGAAACAATTTAGGTTGCTAAAATGATGTATGACAATTGATCTTCCAAAATTATGCAACATGACATCCCTGCAGAAATATTCTATGATGGCAGTAACTAATGAGCCATTGATGTTAGGCATGTGAAGTATTCAAGGAATTGGCTTGTAATGTCTGTTTTAAAACATATTTGACAAGTCTCAGTAATCTTGGATGAGAGTGTTGCCTCATATTTCATTGTCTCACAATCTAGGCAAGTCATTTGTCACACATGCACAGACAATAACTAAGTTATTACTCGCTGTATTTTCCTAGCATGAATTGGTATGTTTGTTGTTGATGCAGCAGATTTATGTTTTGGGTACAGGCAGCCAAGTAATGAATTCGATCACCTAACTACTGTCTGTATGTAGTCTAGGCATGTTTCTAAAAAAGTGTATTAGATTTTTATTTGTCACATTACATAAGCAAGTGCATGGAATGTGCACATCTGTCATGGAACAGAAAGCAAAGTGATCAAATAATTTCCACCAAATTTGTTGTCTTCTGACTGAATGCACATGCACTGATGCATGCGGGTGGTATGACATTAGACTTAAATCTTGATTATGCTGGCAATGTTCATTGGTGTCTTTACTTTCTTCACTTACTTTCAGGGAGGCAAAAAATAGAATGCTTGCTCTGAACCTTATGTTCAAAGTGCCTGATTGAGATGCTACTTTCTTACGTTACATTGACGCCGTGGGATTCAGCTTTCGTTCATTGGCATGTTGTAAGAAGACATGAAATGTGTACTTAATGTTGGCTGTTTGGCTAATGAGGACCCAGGTTCTGATCAGCTGAATGGTTTGAGGCATTTCCTGTCTTCATTATACATCTCATCTCTGGTGCTTGGTATTTATTTCTCTGCTTTTCTGTGTTATACATTACTCATTATTGTAAACTTTGTCATGCTGGTGTCATTATAGCCTGATAAATAGATGTATACAATAATTATACAGTACTTGGCAGAAATTGGATCTTTGTTTTGTATTAATTCCAGTAACCACCATTCTTCAAGTGAAGACTTCGTACTCTTAAAAATCTTCAGCATCAAGTGTACTGTAATTTGATTTGTGAAAGGACAATAAAAGTCGTCCATATATTTGTCATATTGCTTATTATGTTTGCCCTGTGTTTTGGGAACAAACAAATTGTAAAGAACTAGCCATAGTAGAAAATCTGGTCAGTGAGAGTGTTTTCTATAATTCTTGTGTCTGAAACAAGAATTGCAGAAATTGCTGTGATCAGATTTTCAGCAGAAATGTGTTAATATGGCTGGTTCTCTACAATGTTTCTGTTTTCTTATAAGAGGGATGATCAGGAAGGAAGTGCTCAGAAAACACAAGATTCATGCTGTTCTGGCCTGAACCAGAGATCTTGAACATGGCAGTTTAGGCCTTGGTGATGAAGTGCCATATGTAGCTTGAATTTGAACATTTATCTTCTGATCACCTAACATCTCCCATTGACCATTTTTCCTTTGATGGAGTTTCAGCTGAATACTTGAATTCAAGTGCTGAGATGTCAGTTTCAGGAATAAACTATTCAAAAATGGTGTAGATCTTGCTTTGTCGTAGCTTTTGTAAGATAGGAAATTTGTGCGTTAATGCCTGCAATAAGGAAAGTGTCGGTGCCTCATAATTGAGCTACCATATAACTGCCACACATTGGTCAACAAAGACGGGGTCATGCATGATTCATAATGGTAAAACAGATTTGATTTTCCTGTAAAATATACAGCACAATAGTAATATCCTTAAATGCATAGTACAAATATTGAAGGGATGTGTTTTTCCTTATAGTTTCTAGACGTTTTATTTTGAAGGAGCTAATTAAAAAATACTGATAGCTGGCCGTGCCAAAGCTCAGTGGTTAGTTGCTGGCTTCCCACCGCGGCGGCTCGGGTCTGATCAAGTGGGATTTGTGGTGGACAAAGTGGCGCTGGGGCAGGTTTTCTCCAAGTACTTAAGTTTCCCCTGCCCATCTTCATTCCACCAAATTCTCCATCATACAGGTTAAATAGGCCAATCAATGGCCGCCGTGCCAAGTGGACCCAGTTGTACTCCACCCCCCACTAAGCGAATTAAAAAAAAATGCTGGTACCCAGTAATGAGATTCTTTTTGAACCTTTATTATGACTAAGCTATGTTTCTGTGATTCCACCAATAAGAATGGCCCATCTCTTCCACAATGCATTCCTAAATTATTTATAAGGAGTATTTTATCACAAAATGCTCAGGTTTTCAGTTGAAACACAATAGGTTTGTGGATATACACTGGGTAAAACTGCAGTGGACTGAGCAGTTCTAGATTCTCGTCAGTTTTTAACTCACACAGATGTTTTTACAGTTTGCTACTTGCAACTCCAAATTAGTCTGTATAACTGCAAAAGGAATGCAGATATTTTATACTTCATAGTCACTGATAGAATGTTAGTCTCTCTTCTGCTAGTATTCTCTTATTCAGAGAGAATAAAGAAGAGGCATCCCAAGGAAATTGGTTGTCATCCCTTGTTTCATTTAAGTCTCCTTCTGGTGAAGTTGCTTGGGTACTCAGTCTCTTCCACTATGGTTTTATGAAATACAACATTGAATGTGGAAACTTGATAACAATAGTCTGAGCCATTCTTGTCTGATATGTAATGAACTTTGTTATTGTGGATGTTATTCATCTATGTTCTTGGTCATCATACGTTCATGAGCTCTTGGAAAACTCAGTGCCTGCTATGATCTTGTGGGAAGCTTTCCATTACAGTTTACAAGAGGATCCACTTTTAAATTACATGCCCTGTATGTGATGAGAAAGTGCAGAGTTTGGAGATGCCTTATGAATAAGATACTAATGCAGCAGGATTAAGAGAAAGGTTTATAACACATTTGTATGAAACTCATGTAACCAGTAACAAATTTAGAATGAGAAGTGTTGATAGTCTGCAGCTGAAGAAACCATTGGAGAAAGGAAGAAAATATGTATGAAACTCATGTAACCAGTAACAAATTTAGAATGAGAATTGTTAATAGTTTGCAGCTGAAGAAACCATTGGAGAAAGGAAGAATTAAATATACAGAACACAGATACAGCCAAAAATTAAATGAATGAAAGAAGCATGCTGAAAGAGTATATGTCCAAGAGATGTTAAGAAATTGAACATGTGTGGAAGATTTGCAGCATAAAGCACATATTAAAAAAGATGTTTATAAAATAATGAATTGATAATGATAAAGATACATTATGACTGAATCCTGTCTCAGGAATTGAAAGCTTGAATAGCCAGAATTAAAATAATTTTGAACCAGTGATTGTGAAGATGCTAAAATACCTATGTACTCATACACAAATGTATATATTCCCTCTCAGTGCATGAACTTTTAAGAATAAATGTTCGTGATAACATAAATGTGGAACTTATTGGATGTTTTCAGATGTACACTGGGTGACAGAATGGTTACATTCTCGAAGACTGAGATCTGACAGTAATTGTAACACACATTTTATAAGGAGAAGAAAACGTGTGTTACTCTTCTACAAAATATGTTCTAAAATATTGGCCCAGGAAATGTATGTTATGCAAACATTTTTATCAAACAAGCAAAACTTCACAATATTAAGAAAAACTATTCGCTCTATATTACTATCAACTACTAATATGCAAATGAAGATGGTATAACTCATAAATTAGTATAGTAGTCATTGTTTACTGTATGTGAGCATCGCAGCATATCTTAAGAAAAGATGGGTTTTTGAAATCGACTTATGAATTAAGCATGTTAAACTCCTGAGCTGCATGTAACCCCTTAACTACTTTCTGGTGGTCCTGAGCAGCTAACCCATATCAAAAGATCATCCTTAGTTTACCCGAGTTTTCCATGCTATAAGAGAAGTGGGCAGATTGTCTTGTACCAAGCCATTAGCTAGCCAGTTCATCCAAACCTAAGTTGCTGCCATTGTTGACGTGACCAGTTTTTTAAGACAAGTGGTATTATGATGGTTTGCATTCCCGAACCATTTCCTTTGCAGTCAAACAGTAGTTGTCATTCAATGTGATTGTTTTGGCGAGTATGTTAAATTGTGCCCCTAACAATGCCTTTTTCAAACCCATGTTCAAGCATAAAGCCCAAAATAGGTCATGTTTCAAGACAAGTTGGAGATGCGATGTTTTGTCCAGAGTTAGACTGTGTCTTCTGTTTCACATATCAGCAAACAGCATTTGTAGAGGACAACCTTGGGTGCAATTGTCAAGACTCCAAAAGCAAGATGGAAAGTATAGTAAAGAAAATTTGTGAATTAAATTCTGCTCTATGAAGCAGCTAGATGTTTTCTGCACAGTAATATGGAGTAGGTAGCAGTGAAGGCAAGTTACACTTTGTCTTACTCATATTGCATGCCACACCTTTCACAGAAGGCCAGTTTATTCAAGAGTACTTGATTGAAACTGTGAAGGTCATGTTCAGTGATAAAATGGATTTAAAAAACATTTGTCTTATTACAGTCCAGCCACAATTTTTGGTCCCTGTCCTTGTCTGCATGTGATACAGCAAGCCCCAACTCTGGCAAGAATGCCAGATTATTCCAGTTTCAACATGAATGAGTACAGTCAAAGCTTGCAGTGTTCAGGTTACATTCCAGTATGTCAAGTGCAACAGTTCTCATAAATAAAACACAACTGGTAATGTGCCTGGCCAACTTGTGACTGTTGGCAAATGCTGTTTCACAGTTAACAGTATTGACATGATTCGACCAGTGCTGATACAAAACAGCATTAAAACTTGGCTAGACTATAGAGCCACAATAACTGAATGTATGATGATAGCCTTACTAGTGACTTGGGAGATAGATTAAAGCACTTGCTAAAGAGTTAAGCCTGCTCATTGCCAATTTATGAAAACATGAAGGTATTGTTAAGGTGCAATGTTATTTTTTAATAAATTCTGATGCATGACACTCTGGTATAAAGATATTTTCCACAAACTGGTGCAGTACTTGAACTGCTACATGATATTTGTATGTGTATGTGTAGAATGTAATGTCAGATGGTTCTGCAATGACTGGTACCAAGAAAGGAAAAAAAAACTTTGCAGCCAAACTCACAATTTGCATTGCATAATTCATTAGGAAGTATTGTGTGAAAAAATACTAAACCTAAACTGCATTTTGAAAAGGAAAGTCAGTTTTTATATTTATGTGTGTCTGATGATTAAGTCATAAAGAGCATGCTTCATTTCGTGGATGTGGAAAATGAATACAAAGATCTTTGTTATCATACGAGGTTTACTGGTTGTCATAATTGTAGGCGCTGAGAAGGTTTTTTAGTTTGAGCATTTAAATCACCCCATTCCAGAAGTGAAAGAGTAAGATGTGATTGGGATTAAGAGTTAAATGGATACAAGATCTGGCCATCTCTTGTTATCACGAAGCACTTTTATGAGTAGGACATTTTTGAGTGAAATATAAGGCAGTTGTGTCTACGTGTGACAGTATAAAAACTGAAGACAAGTCATCGGCTCAGGAAAATTCAAATAAAAGGATAATCTGGTGCATTTTGAAACTTACAGATCCTTAAGTCAGAGTGAGATGACTGTAATGTTTTACTGTACACAATATACTGGAGTCTTGCAGAAATGAATTGGATGTTAAGTTTCAAGCTATGTGAAGTAAACTTTTCGGTGTTCCTTGTAGCACTTGATGTTTATATCAGAAGAGCAGGTGAAGATCTGCAAATGGATCTTATTGAAGTGCAGAGATACTCAGTTATGAAATAAATGTTAATTGATATGCATAGAGGTGACACTCAAGAATTCAAGATAGCCAATTGTCATCAGTGAAGAAACAGTATCATCACAAGAATTTGTACTCATCTATGGACTGAGTTTAAGTAAAAGATGTATCTTTTGAAAAACGATTTGGTTGAGTGGCAATATAAATGAGATATCTAAAAATTATAGCCTTCACATTTTCAAGCTTGAGATAATAGTGACATCAGAAAGGTCTTGTTTGATTTTGTTTATTCTCATTTTATTTCGTGATTCTTTTAGTAGCTCATATTGCAACAAATGGTGGGAAATTGGAAACTGAACAGGAGGAGGTGATGGTGGCCTAATTTAAGGCACTGTCTCAGTACCTGCATGAACTGACTGAGGTATGCTGTTTCCAGCCCAAGGTCTGAATTTGCGATCATATGAATATGAAGCAAGGGAGTAAACCACTTGACTGCAACTGTCTGATGTGAAGGAATATTAATGTACAAATTTTTAAAACCTGTAGTTGTTAGGGAATACAAATGTAAGTTTTGTATCAACTACTTCTACCCTGTTTATAAATACTCATACCTAAAGCCATTAGATGAAAAGAAATTGTTGCCAGTCTGAGACATTTATCATCACAGTGTGGCTCTTGTGTAGTAATGAATTTGACATGCATATTAAATGGTGTACACAACTAAGTTCATCAGCAACCAAGTGTTGAGTCACAGATGAAACCTCTGATTTAAAAACAGACACTGATAATATGTTGCATGGACTCTATCCCTGAACAAAGATTTGGCTCATGCAAACATGATTTTCAAAGAATTATTGTTAATAGTATAAATTGAACTGTATGTTGTTTACAGATGTGTAGTTAAGGCAAAATGAAAGTGAGACTTCAGGAAGGAACATGTTTATTACATGAAGTAACTCAGATTTACAGCCTTAAAATTTCAACAAAATAGCCACTGGCTCTCTGAGGAGAAAAATGCATAACAACATAAACAGTGATAGAAACTAAACAAATTTCATTTAAAAATAGGACCGAATATTCCATGGAATACTTCAAAAAAAAAAAATGAACTTCTAAAAATAAAACTTTTACAGGTATACATATAAGCATCTTTTCGTGTAGATCAAAAGGCAGGATAGCAACAGGAAGAAAACATGAAATGTACAAAAATGGATTTTCTGAAGTCCATAGCAAAATGTAAAAGAGGAATTATATATCATATTACAAAAATAAATTGCAGAAACATGATGAAAGGGTGAAATAAAGTCATACATAAGAGCATTTTGAATTGTTTTCCATAAGGGAAGAGGAATATTGGAAGTTAGTAAAAGGATGGTTTGTTCTGAAGGGTATTACTATAGAATAGATCAGGCTGTTATGCCTAATCCTTGAAGCTGTGAATACCAGCCTCTTACACATTCATGCCAGATAAGATCATGGACCTCACTCAGTTCACTGAAAGTGAAACAGTTAACGTTTTGCCTGCTGAGGACCCCTTTTTAGCATCTGAAAGTTACAGGACAGGGAGGTTAATATAATGTGGCTTGAAGGTGATGGTTATGAAACCTATATTGGATTCCATCCAATGAAAGTAACTGCAGTTTGAAAGTTATGGATGTCACTGTCTTCAGCATTGTTACTTGTGCTGTGATAATAGTTTGTTTATAACACTAGATTTGTATTTAAACATCAGTGCTGGTTTTTAAGTAAAATATATTGTACAGATTTTCAAGGTACTAGAATACTACATACTGGAAATTGAACTATTGTCCTATATTTAATGTATATTTATATGCATATTTATAATTATGCCCATTGGATCGCAGCATCATGGGAACTTGAAGGCAGGACACTGAAACAGAAGTGATGCAATAATATCTATCCATTTTGTTTTATATCATTTTCCTTTTCTATTGGCACAATTCCTGTATTAGGTAACGGTGGCACTCTTATTGGTATAAGAAGAAGAAGAAGTCAGTAGATACAGAAAGCCCATAAATACTTGTGTACCAATTTAAAGACTATTTATTTAGTTGCACCTTAATGTGATGGAATTAAGATTGATGTACAGTGTCCCTTTAAAGGATCAACTTGTTCCTTTACTCAAGTAAAGTTACTAGTTACTAGTTTTTTCTTCATGTTAGCGTTTCCTCCAGTTTTGGGATTCAGTAGAATATACATTGTTTACAAACAGATTATTAACTTAAAGTAGCTACATTTGCATACATACCTCACTATCCTGTTTAGAAAGACATTTGAGTAGTTTCAATGCTGCGTCACAGCTCGTTTTACCTGTGACATTAGAACATAATCATTAGCTTCCACGTGAATATTGCATCAACATATACACAATATAAAATTTCACAGGTAATTGGCATTTGATGTTCATCAGTATGAACTTCCTTAATTTTCAGATTTTTTCCTCAGTGTTCTTTTATTTTGCTTATATAAGTTTAATATTATTTTAAAAAGTGAAATTGTCCTTGTGCTTAACTAATTAAGCGTTATGCCATGAAGGCATATGGGGGAATGGATGTATGGACCCACGTTTTCTTGACCTTGTCACTAGTTGGAGGTGAATGGTCAGCTTCACACCTTCGCCACTTTACCCCTGGTGGAAGAGTGCCCAGTACCCATTGGATAGGAGGCTGGGTGGGCCCCAGAGCTGGTCTGGACGACATAGAGAAGTGAAAATTCTTGCAACTGCTTGTAATTCTTTGTTGTGTGGCCCGAACATGCAGTCATTAACTCCATTGTAACAGTAGTTCTTAAAACGCACAAGAAACAAATTCATATGTGATAAAGTCCCTCTGAGCACCATGCCATGAAGATGAATGGTGGGGCAGAGGTAGAGCTTGACACATTCATATCCTCAGCCCTAAATGGAGATGGATGACAGCTTCATGATCCAGCCACTTCTAGAGTTTCATGTACCTGCTGCATAGGAGGTTAGATGGGCCTCAGAACTGATGTGAATGTAATGGTATAAAATATAGACCATATTAAGATCTGAAAATTTTATTTGAAGTATTTTCTGACATGGTAAGTATTTAACGGTATTTTAGCTCAGTCAGTATAGCAACAAAGCTAGAGGCTGGTCAACTGGGCTATGATTCATGGCCGGGGCAAGACATTTTTCTTTTCTCCCTAGCATCTGTACTAGTTTGCCAACTTTAGTGGATAGAGGGTGTTGCACGGTCAGCGCAATGAATCCCTACGTCTGTTAATTTCAGTTTTCTAGAATGGAGCCGCTACTTTTCCATTCAAGTAGCTCTTCAACTATCCCCACAAGGCTGAGTGGACCCTGTTCCAAACCCACTACTACTCATAAAATCTGGTAGCACCGGGAATCGAACCCGGGACCTCTGGATCTGTAGCCAGGAAGTCTGACCACTAGACCATAGAGACTAACTTCGCTGATAAGTGGTGGTCGCTCAGTCGGTATAGTCTGCTTGCAGCCTAAAACCACGGAGTTTATTTTATCTGTACTAGCTCTGGGGACCATCTAGCCTCCTGTCCAGTGGGTGTTCGATGCTTTCTTCCCAGGAGTAAAGTGGCAGGGGTATGAAGCTGTCACTCACCATCTTCTGCTGAGGTCAAGAATAATGAAATTGTATATCCACTCCCCCATATGTCTTCAAGACATAAGTACAATGATATGTTTACCTTTTTTTTACCTTTACAAGGAAAAGTACTAGGTGGTTCAAATCTGACTGGGACTGATTTTTTTAAAAAAAGGACATAATTGCCGAACACTTTCTTGCAGATGTCAGTCTTCAACGTACTCAACACATTTTTTCCAACTTTCTGGAAGCATCCTGATGCCCCCCCCCCCCCAAAAAAAGACTTGTGGTTGGTGGCGTATCCACTCCCGAACAGTCTGGATGATGATGTCGTCGTCCACAAACCACATGCCTTGCAAGCCTGATTTGAGCCTTCCGAACAGGTAGAAATCACTTGGGGCCAAATCGGGACTGTACGGTGGATGTGTCAGAAGGTTCCATTTCAATATCCGAAGGGTTTCCATTGTTGTTTTGGCTGTATGGGGCCGTGCATTGTCTTGAAGGAAGGCTACCCGCTTTCCACCTGTCTTCCGCTTGGATCGGATCTTATTCAAATTTCCTTGATAGTGATGCGCCTATTCTCACGAATAAGCATGTCTGTACGATCAATGTTCGGCTTGGTGATGGATGTTCGCGGCCAACGATCACACGGTTAATTCTCCACACGCTGTCTGCCCTCTCTGAAGCACTTACACCACTCAAACACACGGGTCCGTGAGAGACACTCTTCCCCATACTGTTGTTGGAGTCTGTGGTGAATTTCAGTGGACTGGACGTTTTCTCTGAGGAATTTGATAACAATGCGTTGTTCCACGCTCTTCGGTACCTTCCGTTCTCTTATCACTCTAGCAACTTCCAGACAGGACTGAACAGGTTCTAACCCTAACAGGAGGGAGGGTGGAGGTTGTGGCTTCACTCTCTCAAGGTCGCACAGCTGCTTCGCGGTGCGGCTTGTTTACAAAAAATCAGTCCCAGTCATATTTGAACCACCTTGTAATTTCTGATTATGACCACTGTTATATATACTTTTCCCCAAATATAATTAGAGTGTTCAAGTCCAGGAGAATGAGATGGATGAGGCATGTAGCACTTATGGGAGAAAAGAGGTATATATGCAGGGTTTTGGTGGGAAAGCCAGAAGGAAAGTGACCACTAGAAAGACCTAGTGGGAGAATAATATTAAAGTTGGTCTTAGAAAAGTAAGATGGGGTGTTGTGGAATAGATTTATCTGGTACAGGATGGGGACCAATGGTTGGCTCTTGTGATGAACTTTCGAGTTCTGTAAAATTGGGGGAAATTCTTGAGTGGCTGAGTGACTAGTGGCTTTTCAAGGACTCAGCTCCATCGAATTAGTTAGTTGTATTAATGTGACTAATTTCATGACAGCATATTTATATCTGCAGTAAATGAACATAGTGCTAAGGTCTGCAAAATATTGGAGAATGAATTTTGCACAAAAGTAAGACTAGTAATATTTCATATTTCACAGATTTTTCTGATATGACAAATCATATTCAAGAAAATATGCATCAGAGTCAGAAAATGGCTTAGTGGTAGCATCTTTTTTAGGCAGTGATAATGAACACACCTGTGTTATATATAATGAGAGTGTAATTATTAGGCTTTAAATTTTCAGGTGCAGTGCCACACCAAAGCTGAATTCTAGATTGTGTTCTGTCATACATCCTTTATATAGTATGCATGACTAAACAATAGAAAGGATATATAAACCAACATTTATCTTTAGTAGTGTTTGTACAGCAAATTTGGAACTCGTCAGTACTTAAATTAAATTACATCATATCCATGGTGCAGAATCTGCCTTGAGCAATTTGTTTAATCAAGAATTTATACTCTTGTTATGGAACTAAAGTTTGCTCACTATCATACTGTCTACTGTATCCAGTTCACATCTTCACAAAGTCATTCTCTCCCCTCATGCATATCACATGTTCGAACCATGCTGGCTTAATCACACTGACAATAGAATACAAATACGAATCTCTCTTATGTGTTTATGAAGTATATCAGAAAGTGACCATCCATGACTGATGAACATGTTCAAATTTTAGGACCAAGAATGTTCCACTTCATAGCAGCATTAAGACACTCTGGGCATTGCCAAACACCTATCCAGTGACTGCACCAGGAATTATTTCCGTAGGAATAAAATAGCCAGTTTGTGAATCTGACTGCTCACCTCAATATGTTATCTAGAATGTATGGAGTCTTACCTTTATTCCCCCATACCCCTTCATGCCACAGAGAAAAAACACGTAATGTAAAGTGACCACTCTGCCTCTGTTCATCAGGCTTAGGTCCAGACACTCCCTAAGCAGTTTTTTGCAAACGCTTGGTATCTGTTTTTGCCTGACTGAGCTAGTTTCTGCCGATACAGATACAGTACTATAATTTTGTAGTATCTGGAAAGTGGGCAGTAATCATACTTTGCCATATTCTGGGAGGATTTCCTAGCAGTTCAGGATTTTAATTTTGTTATGTATTCATATATGAACATAAACTTGTTTCCTACATTTCCAGACCCGTTATTACTGTACTTTTAGCATTTCGAATATGATGTGGATGCTCACAAAATCAGACATGTTGTAAGGACTGTGTGATTTCTCACCCTTTTTGACATTAGAAGCATCTCCTGAAGCTTCTGTCTTGGAATTATCTGTGCTGAATAACCCCAACTCTCTGAGTTCAATGAAACATACTGTGACTCTCTCCTGTAGCCGTAACTTTTCTCCATCTTCAGTAATATTATTGGCTACCCACATCTTGAACATGTCCTCATTTGGCAGCATTGTTGTATCATCTAGCTACAAGACAAGGGCAGATGAAATGGGTTTAGGTAGCAGAGTAATTCTCCAGGTGTTTTGATATAAAGTTCACATTTCTTCTAAAATATTTCAAGTCCATGAAGAGGTCAAGAACTGCAAATTTTTCTCCAGTCTACATCACACTGTTTGTATGTCACAGAAGTTTCATTTATAAATTGAGTTTAGATACTGAATAATGTATTTGACACTAACTTGAAGGCGATCATGTAATAGAAACACTTGTTTAGGGTTCTTACCACATCCAGTTTCTTCAAAATGCACTGATAGTAGTGGCACTGCAACAGAGAAAACAGCCTGTTCTAAAAGAACTGAATACAAATATAAGAGATGACACAGGAGTAGGATCTCAGGCTCTGTGTTTTATTTCAAAATATGGGACACAACCAATTCTTGGGGATGGGGATCTGTCTACTGCTGGTAAGAAACCTGATGATTCAAAACTAGTAGCACCAAAACTCAGAGATGGACATGATCCTGAGGTGTTTGAATCCATTTGACATCCCCACCCTGATTCCCTGAAACAGTTTAGTGATGTCCTGCCATCTTCTTCTTGGTCTTCAAAGTTAAATTTTCCCATAAAATTGTGTAAATATTTCATGTTTCCCTCATCTTAGTTACATGTGTAATTCATTGTAACTTCCTTGATTTAATCCCTTATAATCTGTAGATCCAAATTATGAAAATCCTCCCTCTCCCACTCACTTTATCACTCTTTGATGTGTTTTTATTTCTTGTCTTGTTTACATAAAATTTTATATTTTATAATTTATTAACATCAACTAAGCTTTATGTCCATACTGTACTTTGGTCACATAAAGAAGTTGTGTGGATTATAGGAATGGCAGCCCCCTTAGTATCCTGCTTTCTACTTGCTGTTGTATTTCACTTCAACTCCCTCTGGCCTAAGCCAGCCAGCCCAGAGTGCTTGTTGCTAGTGAAGGTTATCATCAGTTTTCCTGTGAACAAAATGGCTTGACTGGAAGGGAATATTAGGAAGTTTGGTGGAGGAGGAGGCTTAATAGATGATGGGAGATGCAGAGGGCATTCATTCAAGGGATTTCTATGTCCTTGTATAGGAAAAATGACCATTTAAATTCACAGAAAACTAAAAATAATATAGGTTTCAATTTTATTATCTCTAGTTTCTAAACATAATTCCATAGTCTTAATATACAAATATAAATCAGAATTAAATTATACACATGTAAAAATGAAGTTTAGAAGTTTGTTGTAATGACCATTTAGCTTATTTATAGTCAGGCAATAATATCTCAAATATTTGCTCTGCCTATCTAATTACCACCTAACAAGTCAACATCAGTTACTGGTATATCAATGATAAAGTGTTACATATCAGTTGATCCTGTTTATTTAATTACACATATTTTGTATTGCTACAAGCAACTGACCTAGAGTGCTAAATTCAAGATCAACATAACGTGTCATATAAGAACAATTCAGACTAAAGCTGAACAGAATTCACTGGAACTTTACAAAATTCCTTGACATTTCTTGTGTGTAGTGTTAGACCAGCACTGGAAGGATGAAAGATGTGTCTGGCAATTGTCTGTAAATCTATACATTACCTTATTATGCCCAAGAAATAATAATGTTGACCGTATCATGACTGTATTTCCTTTAAATGTAAACAGCATTTTGCAGTAAGTTTCAAGATGTACCAAATATATTGTGGTTTATTTCCTTGCATTGTCAAGGTGATGAATCCGTTTCAGATACACCTCAACTGACTGCATAATTTGTTGATGAACATGCTTGAAATCAACAGAAGAACAGCGTTGGCACAACTGACAGTTGAAAGCAGGACTTGAAATTAGTGAAATAATAGGATTAGAGGAGTGACAATGTATAACATTTGTAAGCAAACTTACACTTCTGATGGGAAAACACAGAGAAAGCTAAATATATGTTTATGGTTCATCACCAGAATAGAGGCCATAATGGTCAGAGTATCTGGAGAAGGCTCTCGCTGCGACAGCCCAGGTTCAATCCTGGGTCTGGTCAAGTGGGATTTATGGTGGACAAAGTGGCACTGGGGTGGGTTTTCTCCGAGTACTTCGGTTTCCCCTGCCAGTCTTCATTCCACCAAATTCTCCATCATCATAATCACCCGGGGCAGGTACAATAGGCCCATCAGTGGCTGCCATGCCAAGTGGACCCAGTTGGACTCCATCCCCCACTAAGCGAATCTGGAGAAGGCCAGTGAGTCAAGAGATAAGGGTTAACTGTTTGTTCTGTAATACAAATATTATGTTTTTGGACATTATCCATCATCCTGTCTTTGTCTAAGAAACACCATCCTGTTTATTTTTCAAAACAAGGTTTCAGAGACTGGATTCTGTCTCCATCTTCAGGTAAAATCTACTCAGTTGGGTCCAATTGATATTGCTAGTTCCTGTCTCCAGACCTTGTTCTTTCAGTGTGATAACAAGTCAGGCTCAATATTAGGACATAAAGAGTATATGATGTTTGAAGTATGTGTGTTGATCACTAACTGATAAGCAAAATGTACTCACTGATCTCTTACGCTGATGCTTGTTTGTTCTTGTTAAATTTACTCTGCCTTCTGCTGAAACCATGTCATCTGCCACTGGTACTTCTCCTTTTCCCATGTGTGAGGCGTGAGAACCATTTTCCAATGATTCCATGGTGTTCATCTTCTTCATCTTCTCTTCTTCTGTTTTACACAAAGTTTTTAATTTTCACTCATAAATTTAGTCATACAGAGGAGTTTCATCAGAAGACTGTGCTTATGGAAAAGTATGTGTTACACATATTTGTGCTCTGTGTTGTGTTAAGTGAATGAGAAATATGAATTTAGCAGGGATAATCTTTAATTGTTACTCTTGAATTAGTTTGAAAAATTAGATCACATTTTAAAGTAGTCAGGAGAATTTAGCTTAATCTATTTATATTTGTTGGAATGTCTGGCAAACTCTGAAACCGGTAGACAAGGGATTTAATATCCCAACTACTTTTTTTAGTTTTATGCCAGTACAGAGTACTGTGAAAACTTAACTTTGAAACCTTATATTATGCTTGATCACTGATAATCATTGCATATTATAATGATTGAATTAATAATGTTATATTTTAGCGTCCTGTTGCACTGATTTAAGTCCATGATTTATTTTATCCGTCTTCTAGTGCATACATTTATTTATCCCCTCTTTTCACTCTCACTACATGTTTCGGCACCAATGTGCCATCTTCAGGTGCTGATCCAATCCACGACAAACTAATTCATTGCATGCCTTGTCTTTGCATACTAAAATAATTTTTATTTATTTATATTTATTTATATACATTTATTTATCCCCTCTTTTCACTCTCACTACATGTTTCGGCACCAATGTGCCATCTTCAGGTGCTGATCCAATCCACGACAAACTAATTCATTGCATGCCTTGTCTTTACATACTAAAATACTATTTTATGTTTCGGCACATTGGTGCCGAAACATGTAGTGAGAGTGAAAAGAGGGGATAAATAAATGTATGCACTAGAAGACGGATAAAATAAATCATGGATTGAATTAAGATGATGTCTTAGTGTTTACATGGATAAATTGAGGAAATATTAAATGATTAATTAATGCAGTCATAGCAGTTTCAGCAGAAATGTTGCTTCAGGGATCACACACTAAAAATTAACAATTTTTATTTTCAAAGGCACTATTCCTTCTTCTTTAAAGGGAAGTTTTACATCTTAAAATTAAGTATATAATAACATATCTAAAAACTGAATATGCAGTCAATTTTGTGGGAAGAAAGTTCCCATTATGTTCGGGAAAATACACGTAGAATACTTAATTCGTTATGAAATTTACCTGTTGTGTTACACTTTGCTTTCTTCATTGCCTTATATTCTGCTACGCACTGTGACTCCAAGTCTGTGATCTCTGTTGGTCTTGATGGACATGGTAAGGCTGTCTGAAAGAATACATAATCTGTTTAAATATACATCGAACAAATGATTATTGCTACATCTTGAATCAGGTCTTGTTCTGACCTCAAGATACTTCTTCCAGTGAAATTCAGTTCCTCTAATAACAGTTAACTCCACAGAGCATAATTATTTTTGAGAAGCTAATAGTCATTCAGGTACTCAAGAAATTCCCCATCTTTTATGGAACCTGAAGGTTTATCACAGTGTTCAAAAGTGTCTGTCACTGGTCACCCACCTCTCACCTCTTTTTAAGATCCATTTTTATATTCTCCCATATATGCCTAGGTCATCCAAGTAGCATCCACTCTTCAGGTTTTCTGACCAGAGTATTTATGCTCCTTGTCCATCAGTCTGGTATGCCTCACCCATCTCATGCTTTTTGATTTCTTCATGGTAGTAGTGTATGATTTGAGGTCCTCACACCAGTACATGTGAAGAGTTCTGTCTTTTGGGATATAACACCATTAAAGCCAACTGATCGTTTGTAGGAACATGTTAACATCCTCTTCAGGGTTTTAGGGTAAACCAAACAAGAAACCAATATGAAGCAGGCAGCAAGCTTTGCTTGCTGTAACGTACCTCTCAGAAACATTGCTTGAATTGCAATGGACTGTGCAGCATTGTATCCCAGAAAAAATAAGAACTCATCCCCCTAATGATGTTTGGTGAAGAGTATAAATTATGAATTTCCTTATTATGCACTTTCCTTCGGCTTCTTGTCACTTCCTCTTAGAGCCGTATGTGCTCCTAAGTATATATTTCAGTTGTTATTTGAACAAATGCGGCCAAGAAGAAATGGAATAAGGTCTGGGACCTACATACTACCCAGGAAATGGCAGTTGTATTCCTTTAGATATATGTTTTCCATCTGCACATACTTGTTAGGCAACTGATGACAGTCCTTTTCAGTTGTAGAGTTGAATATCTTGAAAAAGCAAGTATAAATTATGAGGGTGGAAACTATGGAATGTTGTACTTTTGTCAAGAAAATCCTTTCAGAGGCCATGTAGTGAGCGGGTGATTCCTTGAACACAGCTTGCATATTTCGGCCCACCTCTGTTGAGGTCAATCTCCTGGATATCCCAGAACATCCAAATACTAATTTGACCATCTGTCACAAATATAGATGATAACCTAAGTGTGAGGTGATGTCCAGAACTGGGACATTGGTCACCTTCAAGTGAAATGCTGCCCTTTTTAAATAGAACTGACCAGTGTTCTAATGCAACTAAACGTCTCTTCTCCAAATATCAGCTGTAAGAATTTCGTAAGTTTCCATGGACTCATTTCCAAGTTTCACACAGATGCACACACACACTAAGGGCATATGTACACAAATACAAAGCAATGACTTTTTTCCATATGAGACAAAGTGGGGGGTAGTTGTCAGGAATGTCTGTGGTTCATTACCACTGATGTGTTTATCTTGCATAAAATAAGATCAGTCACACAATTTTATGAAGAACCAGTCATGTGTGACTAAATGACTGTATAAAACCATCTACTATGAGACATGCAAGAAAGTTCTTTTCTTCAACTGTCCTTTACTGTTTTGAAAATCACTGGACTGCTCCTAAGACTTACATAGTTTAATATTGTTGGAACTTGAGACATTTCTTGAAAGGTCTTACCTTTGAATCAACAGCAGTTTTTACACCCTCACCACCTGAAAATAGGGCAAATACAAATGTGTATAACATTGTATATTATATCTGTATTGCATAATCATTCTGACACATTAGGTTTATTTTGTAGCGGTGGTTATGAAGAGTTCTATCTTCTGAGATATAACTCCATATAGTCCGTTGGAAGTCAACCGACGTTTAGAAGGAACATATCACCTTCATCTTAAGGGTCGAAGAATAAGCCGAGCAAGAAATCAGCGTGAAAGCAGATGGCAAGCAGAGCTTGGTTTATTCTTCGAACCTGAATATGGACGCGATATGTACCTCCGAAACGTCGGTTGACCCGTACCTAAACCAATTCAGTACTTCATCTTCAGCTTTCTGACATTCCTGAAAAACTTTGCATATATAAATTTATTTCTTCTTTACGTCATGTCTCACATCTTCTCGTACCGTATCTGAGAGACGTCTGTTGGCATTGAATGCGAAAATTCGTACACATTCAACCCCATTGGCGAAAGGACAAACACCACACAAATCCACTAAAATGGCTTAATATTTCAGAGATCTTTACACACAGCTTTATGCCATGGTTTGGTGTCTAGAAAGGAGCGAAACGCTGAAGTGTAGATCATGGTGCCATATAACTTTGAATGTGCACCTGAGTAAATACCAATAGCGTGCCCTTTGTATGGCGTTTCGTGGAAATTGTCAGTTGTAAAATAATGTGTTAATAAAATGTGTATATTAGGTGGAAAATGGAAGATATCCACTCTAAGAAAACTGACGGCTATTAGGAAAAAGACAGAAAGAGAGAGATATAAAGAATACAGTATTAAGAACTTATTGAGAAGAAAAGGAATAAAATGAAATTAGGCCGAAATTGAAGCCACAGACTGAAGAAAATGTAGTAATTTTAAGCACGTTTACACTATCACGTAGAAGAAGATTGACCAAGGAGTAGAAGGAATTAGATGTACTCTCAAAGTGTCATCCGGTCTACGTGATTTTCACCTGGTCACACGTAAGTGATCAAAGGAGGAAGTTAAACATTTGACGGAGTGACTATCATTGCTCCAAGAAGATCGGAATAAATGTACCAAATCTGCCCNAATTAGATGTACTCTCAAAGTGTCATCCGGTCTACGTGATTTTCACTTGGTCACACGTAACTGAGTGACTGTCGTTGCTCCAAGAAGATCGGAATAAATGTACCAAATCTGTCTCTTGATCTTAGTGAACTCACTGTCTAGGTCCTCCGGTTCGTCTTCGCCCGATTCCACACTGTCGTCTTCATCTTCGCTTTCGGTCATGTTGCCCGTCATTGCCGCGGACTGCTCTGTCACTTTGGGTTCTTCTGTTGTCTTCGTCATTTGGTCCGGTCGCGCCTTAGAGTTGCAATAAAAACATCGATTATTAATCCCAACAGCATTCTGAGTACTCATACTTCCTAAGGAGACTCCTTACTTAGGAGTAAAGTCGGCCTGAGCTTGAAGTTAACTCATCTCTACCAACACTTATCCAGAGTGGCTCCGGGGCCCACTCAGATTTATATCTAGTGGGTACCTTGACGTAAAATCGGCCGAATGAAGTGCGCTACCCTCCTCCTTTTCATCTGTATCAGCGACTCGAGTCCCCTAACATCCTATCCAGGTGATCCCAAAATTTCTTCGCCAGAAATTAAAAGCAATCGGAGCTTGAAACTGAACATGCGCGCCTATTGCCACAGCTTCATTTTCATTTGACACCGGCGGTTTTCCGCCAGGAAGAAGGCAGTTTGAAGTTGAAGCTGACCACCTTTACTGAATTCACAGGCCTGTACCTCAATGCTGCTGTATTTCGACACAATTGTGAGTACACGGTATTACATAGTTACTAAAATTTGATCTTCGTTACTTGTGAGTCCGCCGATGACGTACTGATTTATCAGACCTGCTCGGGTGGATGTCTGTGAATAATGGTAAAATAATTGTTGTCAAGGAAGAAACAACGTAAGTTAATTTAAAGAAACTTGTGGCTCTCTTGAATTGAATTCTTTGTGGTTTTCCGGTTGTGCCATAGCTCAGGGATTAGTCTCTAGCTTTCCACAACGGACTCCCGGGTTGGCTTCCATATATCGTCTGAGATTTGTGGTTGATAAACTGGCACTGGGATAGGATTTCTTTGAGTACTTCTGTTTCCCCTGCCAACTGTTTTAGATTCATTAATGATCCTATCCCCAACAGTAGTCTCGATACTGGCGATGTCGTTAAATAACCAACTTAAGAACAAACTTCGTGGCATTCCTCACTCCCTTTGTGTTAATATCGAGACAGAATCTCAGACTAGATCCCCACTGCACCCGTTCACATCCTTCCAATCCGTTGCATAATTAAAAAAGAATCGCTTAGTGGGGGGTGGAGTCCCGCTGGGTCCACTCGGCACGGCGGCCACTGATTGGCCTATTGTAGCCTGCCTCGGGTGATTATGATGATGGCGAATTTGGTGGAATGAACATTGGCAGGGGAAACCGAAGTACTCGGGAAAAACCCGCCTCCGCGCCACTTTGTCCACCACAAATTCTACTTGACCAGATCCGGGATCGAACCCGGGCTGCCATTGTGGGAAGCCAGCGACTAACCGCTTGAGCTATGGCGCGGCCAATCCGTTGCTTACTAGCCAGCCCATAAGTCAGTGCTGTATAATTTAGCTAGTGAAGGCATCGTTAAGCAGACCAAGAATAAATTGTCATATTTTCGGTACAAATTTATATATTGGCTGCTCTAAATTTGAAATTTGTGTATGGTTTCCGTGTCACCGCGGCATGGCGCACCCGTAGGTTACGGATGAAAGAGACGGGATTCCAGATATAGGGCGCAACTGCAAATGTTTGAATAAGAACTCTCGGACAGCCGACAAAAGATCGTCTTCTAGGGTGGGGCTTGTTTTGGGTCCTAACCGCTCCTCGCCACAAAATCCAGTTATGAAGTATTACGGAGAGCTTCGGACTTTGACGGATTATTTGCAATGATACTAACGGGAAACCGACATGAGATTTGGAATTTAGAATACAGGTCAGGTACACTGAGCACAATACAAAGACAATTAGCAAAGACTGATATAATTGAAATGTAGTGGAGTGAAAGAAGTCGTATGGGACGATGATGGAATTGAATAAGCAGACGAGTATACGGGAATGCTAGTCATAATATAGGGATAGATTTTTTCACACATAAGGGAATCGTATCAGCAATTAAGAGGGTAGAATTTGCTCGTATTAGAATATTGTACGTAGGGACTTCAACAAGTAAGGACATATTGCATTATATTTAAATGCATATCATATATACAGATCTAAATAAGATGCTATTTTCCCATGTAGTTACCGTCCTTTGCAATGCACTTTTCCCATCTTTCGACAAGCTTCTGTATTACAGCAGAAAAAAAGTTTGTGCTTATTGTCGAAGCCAGGAATGCACAGTCTCCTCCACCTCGCCGTCTCTGTGAAGTCTTCGTCCTCGCAATGCTTCCTTAAGAATCCAGGACACAAGATAGTCGGATGGAACCAGGTCTAGATTCTAAGGATGATGACTCATGCTCTCAAATTTCAGTTTCGGAATGGTGGTAGTTGTTGCAACAGCAGTGTCTTGTCGCGCATTGTCATGGAGGAGGAGGACGCCCTTGGATAGTAGTATGCGACGACGAGTGCGAATTGCAGTATTCAGTTTCTCTTCCGGCGTGGTGCTGTACGTTAAACTGTGGCTGTCTCTTCTTTCTCCTGATAATGTTCGAGAATTAGTCCATTCATATCCCAGAACAATGTCAGCATAAGTTTTCCGGAAGAGGGTGCCGACTTGAACTTTTTTTTGGCAGAAGATGGTGTGTCGCCATTCCACTGATTGTCTTTTGGATTGTGGTTCATAATAATGAACAAAGGTTTCATCCCTGTTACAATGTACGCAAGAAACTCTTCGCCCTCGTCATGATAACATAATCAAGAAAGCTCTGCACTTCAGCATATGCTTCAACTTGTGTTCATCGGCCAACTGTCTCAGCACCCACCTGGAACACAGCGATATTTGAGAGCCTCATGGATGATACCATATGCAGATCGAACTCCAATGCTCAACATAGTGGCAACAGTGCTCACAGAAATCCGTCTGTCCTCACCAATAAGTGCGTGCATGTGAGCAACGTTCGCATCACTGACGGCTATGCACAGGCAACCTGAGCGATGTTCATCAGCGACAGATGTTAGGCCTTCTTGAAATTTTTCTACTCACTGGTACATTTTCCTTTCTCTCATACAGCTTCCACCATACTGCTGAATCATTTTTCTGTGACTCTCCCTCAGTTTCACCCATTCTGACCACAAAAATCTTATTACAGAAGGCTGCTCCCCTCTGGTGTAATTTTCTGGCGGGGCGGCCATGATTCTCGCACTGTGGTTCGAATAGCGCCCATCTTGCCATCGGTTGCAGGCTGTCAGGACCTGCCCAATAGATATCTCTATATGCTGTAGTAGTTTCATAAGTTTGCGTCCAATCTTTTTAAATAGCCAGTCAATTTGCCCTTGCTTATTGAAGTCTCCTCATACAGCATGTAATACTAATGTGGACCTAGGCATAAACAGGAGGATAATATTCAAGTCGATCTTAAAGAAGTCAGGTGTGGACTGAATTTATGTAGCTCAACACAAGGACCAGAAACGGGTTCTTGGGAAACCTGTAATGGACTTTCGGGTTCCATTAGGCGCGGAATTTTTGACTAGCTAAACGAATATTAGCTTCTCAGAAAGGAATTAATTCCGTGGACTTGAAGTTCTGAATTTGAGCGCGGGTCTCAGCAGTAGAGGACGCAAGGAGTAGGCATAATCTCATGAGTTGTTCCTCTCCCCTTCAGCCAGCCTCAACATAACATAGTACCCTTTGTTTTCACGAAAGAAGCTCTGATTATTGAATCACGGAGATACTAAATCTGTATCTGGTGTAGAAGACATTCCAATGCCCGTTTCCGGTGATACTGGGTTAAGTGTGAAAGCGATGCGACTACGAAAGTTAGACGTCATGTCTCTTGAAGTTCTGGTTTGATTTGTTTAATTCCTCGACATTTCGAAATATTGCAAGTACGAGTATGTCGTGGTTCTAACCACATACCTGTACTACGATTTGCCGTATATGTGATATAATGCTGATAATGTGGGGCCAAATATTTAGGAAATAAATTTACTCCAATGGCTGCTGGCCCGCACTTCGGCGAAACTCAGTCACAATGAGGAAATCACACGGTGCACATTAGTTATATGGCCTAACAGAGCATGTGATGTCATGTTTATATTACACTGCATAGAACGCACATACGTGAATACGAGTTATTATGCCAGAGCATTTTGTTCAGATTATAAGAGAAATACTGAATAAAAGAAGTCTATTAAAGCTTTCTGTATCTGGTCTACCTATTAAATTCAATTTGCGTACCGAGCTCTTCCGTTATAACTGGCTGCAAATTAGCCATAACTGCCTCAACAAAGAGCAGTGTCCTACATAAAAGGAGGTCATGTTGTTCGGAACATGTCACGCATCACGTAATACGAATATTTTTAAACAAAGAAAACTGATATTTTTAGAGACTAAACCGAGCAGGTTTGAATAGTAGTAATGCCACTACTTTGTATTCGGAAGGTACAGATTTGAATCTTTGGCTCAATAATGACTATTCTGTCAGAGATTTCGTGGTTCTTCTTAGTCGTTGCAGGCAAATACGGCTATTGTAGGCCTGCCTTAGGATATGTCACCAGTGCTTTCTCATTCTTTCAAATGCACCTTACGTAAGCAACCACTTCGTCTCATTCGGTACTACGCGTTAAATAATTTGAGCCCAGGTGGTTCAGTCAGTATAGTGCAGCCACAGGCTGCAAGGTAAGGGTTCGATTCTCGGCAGGGATGTGGATTTCTCTCTTCAATTCAGCGTTCGGATCGGGTCTAGGACCCAACCAGCCTCCTGTTCAATGGATACTGGGAATAATGCAGATGATGCTTGAAGGCTAACCATACATCCATCTAGTGCTGAGGTTAAGAATGCACATATTCGTACCTCCAGCCTATACATCTTCGTGGCGCGATGCATAATTAGGCACAGGGCAACTTTGAACTTTCACATATAAAGTAACAGACTTTTTTTATTGCTGGTGGGGTGGCACTAAGTCCCTTGTACTGCGGCCACTTCTGGCCTATTGTACCAGCCCAGATGATAGGTAAGGGTGATTGTGGAGCAATTGGTGGAATGAAGATTGGCAGGGGAAACCGAAGTACTCGGAGAAAACCCGCCCCAACGCCACTTTGTCCACCACAAATCCCACTTGACCAGATCCGGGATCGAACCCGGGCCTCCGAGGTGGGAAGCCAGCGGCTAACCGCTTGAGCTATGGCGCGGCCCACTAACAGATAACTATAGATCATCCTGTCGAGTTCTGTCCACTGTGAACCAAAATTATTCTAAAAATTTTGTGAGGACTCTACTCAGTGTTACGTCCGATTTAAGCTTTGGGCTTCTTTGGTGACAATTTTTCCGGATTGTACGTAGTACTTCAGCATAAGACTCTTTGAATGGATGGTAAAGTGATTTTATGGTCTCAATTACCATAAGACAAGGCAGAAAAATACGGGCAGGAATCTTTACCGTGAGCGCGATAGACCCGCGATTGTAATGTTTATGAAGCCTAAGACATTACATGCCTTGATTTATATTGAATACGGCTTTATGATGATTCAATTTTAGGGATTCAATTGTGGAAACGATTTCTTTGGGATAGGCCTACGAGCGTGTAGTTTTTACTGTTTTTACGTCTTTGTGTAGGTGAGAAAAATTTATATTTTTAAAGGGCTATAATTGGTTCACTATTTATGGCTTTGATGTTCGTGTTTCAGTACTGAGATGAATTATATTTCCAGCGTCCATACATTTTCTTAATTTTTTTTTATTTAAGGACTTCAATTTACGTTTTTATTTTCTGTTTCGTCTTATTTCGGGACCAACTGTTTTCAGAATCGGAATAGAACTGCCCGTATTAAATTTCGGAAAATATCATTTCGTCATATCGCTACTGTCTCATGCATCAAGGAGCAAGATGAACGAACACAAGGACGGAAACTCACGTAAGTGCGACCAGTATCTTTCGTCAAGACGAAACTCAAGGTAGTAGTTCTTGTACCATTTATTGATTATTATCTTGTGTTTAATTCGAGTTCATTAAACCGGTCCTAAATGACAAATTGGTTGTATAAATGGCGTATAGGCAGGCGAACAAAACATACTTTTTCACCATTCTTGATGGGCTCCATGCGACATCTGTCGCAGATGTTTCTGGGCCGACCGTTTGTGCGCATTTGCAACGAATAATTGTCTCGAAATCCACAGAACAGATCTTCATAATGTCTGGTACTGGACAGCTTTAGTAAACATTGTTGACATATTCAAATTTATTTAAGATATGAAAACGATAGCAACGCTGGTTTTTGTTTTAGAAGTGACCGGTTCAGAACACGTCGGGGGCACAGACTGTCGTATTTTTATAGTGTGCAGTGTTTCACAAGTATATGTTTTGGTGACGTATTCGTCAACACAACAAGATAAGATGGTATTACAATTAAAATCAATATCTCATAGATTGAATTTTATTTTTTACCGTTTCATGTTTCGGTCCTCATGAGACCATCATCAGGCAGTGTTTATAATAAATACGATAAAGTTGAGTGAAATCTCAATATGGATGCATATTGTGGTGCAACGTGTCTCTATTATAAATGCTGTAGAAAATTGTGCCTATTTGTTTTTCATGGGTTTTCTCAATACCTCCAAACGGATTCGAGGATTGACCTTAAACGAAGCCATAGTCGTTTCCTTCCAAATCCTTTAAATTATATTATTCACCATTCATCTTACAATTTAACGCCATATCATCTAAGCTACAGATAGCAATGTTAAACGAAACGTAAATATATGAAGAAAAATAGGAAAGACTACATGAAAGGGGCGCGCGGTAGCGTAGTTGGTCGAGGCACTATGCTACAAGCCGGAAGGCCGCGGGTTCAAGTCCTGATGAGGTCAGTGGATTTTTTTTTCAATTGACTTAATCCTTCCAGCCGCACTATGACCCTGGGTTCGACTCAGCCTCTAACAGAAATGAGTACCAGGAATATTCTTGGAATATTCTTGGGGATAAAGTGCTTCCGGCGCGTAGAGCTGACAACCTTGCCGCCATCTATGAGACGATTGTCTAGAAAATGTGAGAACCTCAACATCTCACAGCCCTATGGGCCTCCACAGCCTGTTACAGGGCTATCTTTACTTACTTACACTACATGGAGACCTGTATGCATTTCTATGCATAACTTGTCAAATATTTATCGAAACGAAGAATATTTCGAACAAAAATTGTAGAGAATGAAAAACGAAATTTTTTCCGCGAGTCTTGCGTTTCTTTTTAGAATCATCGAAGTGGAGCGAAAGCGGCATAGTGGTTACGCTATGGATGTTTCTGAACTCGTTTAAAACTGCAGTTAACTTATAGAGCTACTCTATTGTGCTTACCAAGGCATCGTAGGAGACGAAATGGAGCATTAACAACACTGTAGCTATGACGACTACGTTCCGCATTGTTCAAAACAAATCACACACGTTTCCAAGATAACAAACACACGACACCGCGAAATCTCCTTGCGTCTCCCAATATATACTGAACCAATGACAGGGGGAGGGTGCGGGGGTTTCCGACCTTCTCTGTGCCATTGTTACAGTGGACAGGTCATTTCAATTGCCACTAAATGCATCAAAGTGGGAGTGGGAGGGGGCATTTGGAGCAAATCCAGCACCGAGAGTGTAATGACGGTACAGGAAGCGTAGGAGGTCGTGGTGGAGGTAACAAGGGTGACCAAGTACAATTTCGTTGTTGAAGAATTTCAATTAATGGTATTTAAACCTGGGTGAAGCTGGTCACGATAGCCGAGCGGTCTAAGACATGTACTGTATTCGCTCGCTCGGAAGCCGGGATCGTGGGTTCGATTCCAAAACAAGGCATGGTTGTTTGTTGTGTGTATGCGTTTATTTTGTGTTTATGTTGTCCTGTGTTTAGGTAGAGGCCTTGCGATGAGCTGGTCATCCGTCTAAGGAGCCCTACCGTCTTTAAAAATGTTCATGAACCTGAGAAATCAGCTTTATGCCCTAAAAATTGGAGCAGGAGGAGAAAAAAAAGCAACCTGGATGAGCAGTAAATATGATGTTTGTTGCTATTGTGTCGAATGTCAGATGTGACATCCTAAAAACGAACGATTTTGGCCACTAGAAAATGCTGTATAGCTTCATGTCCACCTGAGCTTACGAATTTATGTGTGTTGTAATTAATGCCTCTTAAAATTGTTCTCTGAAACGAGCTTTGAGGTTTTAACGGCGGTGAAAGTTAGGATTGTGGCTTTTGGGGTCATATGGATAGGCAAAAATTTGTACCCTGAAGGTGGAGGTAAGAGATTCTTCTCAAACGCTGGCAATTAACTACACAACACAGAAGATCCAGATCTAGAAAATTCTCTTAAAGTTTTTGACATTGGCTGATTTATTATACCAATATTACCTGGACGTTGCACATTGCCTCAGGTGTGTTTTATATAGGCCTGCACCACATTGCGTTAAGTTAGTTGTACTGCCGGGCTCAGTTCTTCACTGACAGTTTTTATTAGTTCTTATTCTGAACTTTTTCGTGACTATTATGATAGAATTCGGGACATTCTGAGTGCCAAGTTATTACTGTAATCACTAGACTGCTGACACCATCAATTTCCTTAAAACGTGGGTAGAAAAAACACCCGGAACGTCGTTTCTATAAAGTTACCTTAAACAGCGGACCATGCCAAACATAAATAGTTCTCTAATACCTCTATGAATACTGATGGAATTTGATATGAAAGATCCACAACCAATTGCAACCATACTCGAATCCAGACTTAACAGTGTTAGCCGTCTTTTTGCACGACTCTCAAGTCTGGGCTTTGAAAACAAAAACATTAATTTTATGGAAGTGCACTGATCATGTGCTTCGTTAATTTTGGAATGATGCTGTTTACTCCAGTTTGTAGTTTCATAGTTTCCAAGTACATCTTTTGGGCAGAGAAACTTCGTCTTCACCTACTCTGTTTAATTACATAGCTGTATCGACTCTAATTTTTCCCAAGCAGTTATTCGTGAAAAACAACTGTATAAGACATAAAATATAAAGCTTATTAAGATCTAAGATTTTTCGATAAGATTAATATTAAAAGAATGCACAAGAAAAATAACAACAGACTTCTTATAATACAGTGCGTACAATCAAGTGCGCGCCGCGGCTGCAATTTGCCGTGAGTCATACCACCGCAGAACGGATGCAACTCCTCCCCGCGACTGCAGTGCTCCTACGCCGATGGTTGCATAATCGGAACCCGAGGTTGCATTAAACAGTCAGTCTTTGTTCTTGCTGTGGAAGTGGAGTGGAATGTTTACAGCTGTCGACAGACGGTGGAAATGAAGTTCACTATTAAACAGCGTGTGTTTATTGTCGAAACTATTGCAAGGAAAAACATTTACAGAAAATTCGCACGTAGGTTTCGTCAGAAATATCCTGACTCGCCAGTTCCCACAAAGTCGTGTGTAAAAGGCTTCTGAAAAAGTGGCGGGCCACAGGTTCAGTGAGTGACAAGAAGAAGCAATC